TAAGTATAATATTTTAAAATGCAATTTACTTACTATACTTTTTTACTAACAGGTACTTATAATTTTCTTCCAATGTTTTCTTGTATTTTAGACTTGAAGGAATACAAACTTGAAAACTTAGTTTCTTAGACTGGAACAGCTATTATAGTCCATTCTTATAATTAAGTATTTGTTCAACTCGATGCTGGAATTTAAAAGGTTTATTGTTGACACTAACTAGCGAGTTACCTACCTTATTATTTTTTGCAAAAAACTTAAATATATTTTGTTTTAACATTTTCACAAGAAACTTTTACTTGCTACCTCAGAATACAGAACAATGCTACCTAGTACATAGGTAGGTACCACGAGGTACCTACGCAAAAGAAAATTTTGACGGGATTCGGGATTGCATATGTGTAACTTTTTTGTTTTCCCGCCATTTTTACCATGTCAAAATACTTTTTTAATTTAATGAGATCAAAATACGTTTTATTATTGGTTTAGGTGTAACAAGACGCAAGACTTGCAAGCTGAACAACAAAATATATTTATAGCTCTTTTAAAGCAATAAATTAGGTATTATGAAATCTTAAATCGTAATTCATTATAAGTTGTCCAGCTACCTACCATCTAAATAATTATGTAAAATTATTAGCAAGTGTTACTAAAATATTCAGAATAACCAGTTTTTCAACATTATCTGTGATTACTAAATGTTTTGGTGTCATCTCATGTAAGTATAACTACGAATATAGATATTAGAGTCGAAACTCATAATAAAAACCATAGATGGGTATATGATTTAGTCAAAAAATAACGATGCATTTTATTTTTATGCAATATTTGAAATACTATTATATATTATTATATCCTCTGTACCAATTGGACACCACACAATCATTATAAAAACAGGTTTAAAAGACTATTAAAGTCACACCTATTTGGATAGTACAAACACCATGAATTATTATAAATAGTATAAGTACATAGTTATTAATGCATAATCACATAGGTACATACTTACTTAATATTAAATTCCTAAATATTTATATATTCACTAAAACATAATACCTTTTCGGGGATTCAAACCATACCCATTTGTTAATTGTAACATCTTGTAATACAGCTTAGCCTATGACCACAGATGGGGCCTACAAAGGCCTTGACTTGTAGCAGGAGAAGGAATTATATAGGTAGTTTTTAGTCAGTAAAAGCCTGACACTTCCTTTTATCCCTCCCAGGGTGGAAGAAGTCATTTGAAGAGTTACATCCATCATTTTTTTAAAGGTAAAGGGAAACTAGAAGACTATATTACCTGGTAAGCAATCAGCGCCGCCCATGGACACCCGCAACAATCGTAGCGTTACGAGTGCCGATCTTTTGGGGATTAGGGATTTGGAGATTTTGGTATCAGGGGAGGGGAAGGATTAGGCCTCTGGTAACCTCACTCACATGGCGAAACATAACGCTGTGGTTATTTCACGCCGGTTTTCTGTGAGGCCGTAACATCACTCCGGTCGATCCCACCCATTCGTGCCGAATATGGCTCTCCCACAATGCGTTTAGTTGCGTTTCATTCATAGACGCTGGATTGGTATGCTTGGGTCGTTATCTGTGGCGATTACAATGTGCCTGTCATTCATTGCGTACAATACAATACTGAGTAAAGGTAAAAACACACCTGAATCGGATCGGAATGTATTTACCTATTCCCCAAGCCATTATTATTAACAATACTCAATAATACTATGACTATGTAGAGATTGATTGTTGTTAGTTTTGTATTAGTCTTGGAATATTTGTATTGTTTGTTGATCGAGTTAGGCCAAGTGCGATTAATTATTCTTAGACCATTGACAAGGAAAATAGCGAGCTATATGTGCTGAGGGTGCATATAGGTTTAGGTTCATATAAAAAGAAAAAAAAACATGTAACTATATAAATAAGCAAATGTATTCAAGGAAAAAGATACCATAATGTATTTTCAGAAGTCTCTTGAAAAATTGATATCAAAGTGTATGTTAGGCGGGAGTGAGGAAAAGGAATAAAAGTTTTTTGTGTTTGAATTTCAGGACGACGGGCAAAGGAGTATTATTCACAAAGGTTAAAAGCATAGGCTAGGTTAAGAGGATATTAAGTGTGGGAGAGCTAAGTTTCGGCACGAATGGGTCGGCTCGACCGGAGTTATACCACCCTCACCGAAAACCGGCGTGAAACAACCAAAGCGTTGTATTTCGTCGTGTGAGTTTACCGGGGTGGGGCCCAATGCCTCCCACTCCCCCCATTTCTTACCAACCCTTAAATATCCGAAACCCTTATCCTTATAAGGCCGACATACCACTCGTAACTCCTTTTGGTGTTGCGGGTATCCATGGGCAAGGTAATCCATGGGTGCTGATTGCTAACCACAGGTAATATAAAAAAATAAAGGATAGAAGAGGATATTGTACCTTAGATTGTTACTTAGAGAACATTATATAAAATGCGAGTATTCCTACGAAGGAGGATTGTGTTTGGTTATTCAACTTTATGGTGACTATCGGAGCCGGTTATTTTACATAAATATGCCGTAGTATGTGTTAGTCTTGGTGGTGATAAAAACCCTCAGATACATAAATAGTTACTGTCAGACTGAGCGTAACTAAGATTTAATTAATTAATTTAAAACTTAATGCACAACCCACTGAACATAGGCGGACTTAACGCAATAAGCATTCTCTACCAGTCAACCTTTCGGTGATGCAGAGATAATCTAATGGCAGGTGCAAGAAGCAAGCAAGTTCTACTAAATATACCAGAAAATATATAAAAATATACATAATACACTAAACTTTAAATACACACATACTTGAATATAAGTACATATTATAATATATATTTATAAGGCAGTAAAAAACAACACATATTATATCGCAGTCATGGTCACGATGATTTCTCCAACCTCTTCAAAAGAAGCTCCCGAACTCTCTGCTTGAAAGACAGCCGACTAGTCCAACAAGATTCTGATATCGATTTAAAAACGTTACATCGTTAGAATAAAATCGTTTTAAAAAAGATTAAATAACATGATTAACGCACGCGTTTAATAATTTTTTAAGCTATTATTTCGCGGACATTGGTGTGGGTTACACGTTTACTTAGTTTTAAATATATTGTGTCATACTTTATTGTAATGTGTAACTGTTTTATGTCCCAATAAAGTAAAATAAAAAAAAAAAAAATAAAGTTTTTTATTCAACCAGTCACATGCGATTAACAAATATCTTGACACTTCCAACTAGTATAACAGTCTCGACGCTACTCCTAACTAGCCAATGTCTCATCTTCGAAAAGAATTCTCAACAAATCTTACAAAACATGTCATGCAAGTGCAGTTACATTATGTTTATGATACTAATTATTGTGAGATTATTCGTTTGCATGACAAACTATTAAACTCTCAAACAGGTGCGGCGTAAGACGTAAGTAAATTGTAGATAATAGTTGCATGACATCATTTCTCATAGCATTGAAGAAAAACAATAACAACATGAATATTGTCGATTTATAGCGTTACCTCGTGTTATATATTATGTACCTACCTATATGTATCTAACATGATATAACAATGCAATTTATTTCAGTTCATAATTATACCTACCTACCTAGATACTTATTGCAAATATTCGGTAGGTCTGTCTAAAGTTGTTGCTATCATGAAATATACTATTTTTAAATAAATTGTATAACTCATTCTTTGTCTGGAATAAAGAACGTTATTAATACCTACTACTTAAAAAAACTAAAGCCCTTATTCGGGTTATTTGTTGCACCGATTTAAGTATAATATGTATACTTATAATATTACAGGCGGTGCGGCTCGCCAGTTCTGTTTCTTGAACTTGGCTTGACACGCTACCGCGTATACAAATGCCGACATAATTCAATTAATTGATTTTTAATGTGCTTGGATTATTATTGATAAATTAAATCACTCTCCTACTAGGTCCCATTTTCCAAGCCCTGGCTGTGGTTGCTAGCAGATTAACTGGTTCTGGATATTCAATATTCAATCGAATAATCGACGCGTAGGTCCATGAAAAGCTATTTTGTATAGGATTATTAAAACAAACATCGGAAGAACTAAAACTACAAAATAGTCCTAGCAAATATCAAGTCTATCATCAATAGGTTTTACTTTTTTCTTTTTTCTAATCTGCCTGCGCCACCCCATAAACCTAGTAAACTAGTAGCGGCATCTAGCGGTGAAACGTTAAAATGCGTCGTGTTGACATTAGTAAGTAGTGTTGTCAATACACTGTTAAATATTTTCTATAATAAGTTGATTATTTAGTCGATACCAAACTCTTTATTTATTAACGTCTTGTTATGTTAGATGTCAAAATGATGTAATTGTATAATATTGTTTGTTCTTTCGTTTCAGGGGAACACAGGATCCCGGACCTTTGGAAGGCGTACGAGGGTCCGTTGAACAGTTTTAATCTAATTGTGGCGGGACATCAGTCGGCAATTAGCCCTTTATTAAAGTGCACCCATGGACAATCCCCGGCTGATAAAGGACTATTGTGCAATATGGTAGAAAATTATATGATTACGGGTGTGGGTGGCTACTGGTTATGGACTGGTAGACGATAACTATGGAAATACAATGGTCCCTGCCCCTGACCAATATTGATACATGGATAAAAAGAGAATGAAACCCCCCGAAAACGACCGTTACGTTAAGTTGCTTGTAGAAGGAGAGGCATCCCACGGCTGTCAGAGCAATCCCTGAAGTACCAACGGTCAAGACTCCTACCAGCATCTTACCGAGATTCATCCTTCCTCTGAGTCTCGTCCAACTCCAACTACCGCGTACCTCCAAAAAATTAAAAACCGCAAAAAATGCACTATGAAAATTTTGTTTCATAGGGTTTTTTGCGGATAATTATTTTCATGAAATAATTCGAATACTACAAATACAACTCAATTTTAAATTAAGATAATCGACTAAACTGAACTCGATTTTAAATGAACATCTCTAGTAGCGACATTTTTAATCTGACGTTTGACTGATTTTCTCTGCTGAATTCGCTACCGGCAGAGAAATTTTCTTCTGCTGTAGAAGAATTTCTTAGTCCTACAATATCTGTATGTTTCCATAAACATGGAAAACGATATATTGGATTCATTAAACGATTTGGGGTAAGATTTTTTATGCAGTTATAGGTTATAATATCATTAACTTTGATTTACCAAAACCTCTATTAATAAAACAAAATGTGTAATTACAAATATTTTTACAATATTACATATTATATTTTAGATATGTTTTTATTTATAATTTTCTATTGAAATATTACGCTAAAATGTTCTAATTAGCTGTAACGTGGCTAGAATATTATGATCTGGAAACTAATCAATAAGCTAATATATAACTAATTGATTTGTTGCTTTGGCGTTGGTCTTAACTTCCTTTCTAGGGTTCATAATCAACAATAGATAAGACAAATAAAAAAAATATAGTTAGGAAATTAATTTATCAAGACTTAGATACAGCAAATTTATAATCTGTGAGTTTATTAATGAAATATTGTTTTAAATATGGCAAAGCTAAGGTCAATATGTGAACAGCCAATAGATGAATTATAAAACAACTAAAATTGTTATGAAATTTATTAAAATACTTATCCTCATAATCTGAGGATACTCAATGACTGATCAATATCTCCTTTACATGAGTAATATAGTTTGTAAGTTGTGCAATATAAGGAAATTGTTTACAATATAAAATCCTATAAACAATAACATCTTTCATCATGATTGAAATAGACTCCAATTTAATTTCAACAAAAAATTTTCTATTATAAAGTTTAAAATATAAATTACTCTATTACTTAAGACTTTCTTATTAGACAAGAATTATGTGTGATGACTCATGAATTATCACATACACTTCTTAAAAGGTGATGGCAAAAAAAAAAAAGATTTTTACATTTTAAGCATGATGTCACAACATTGCATTATATATTTGTCGAGAACAAGTAATTTTGATAAATTGAACTAGGACTAAAAAATTTTTGGTTAAGGTGCCAATTGCCTCATTCATCAATTGTATTTATTGTTATTTTTATTTATGTTGCACCCTTGCACCCTAACAGGTCCATAAATGTACTATAGCTTTAAGCTTTGTATACCTACCACATATAAAACATGTTGTGGAATTTAAATAAATAAAATTATTATTAAAGTTATATTTAACCTCTTGTCTGCTGGTATATGACACACAATAGAAAACAAATTGTGTCTCGTGTAGATCTGTGCTCACGGGTTAAGTGTGTCAAACTTTTATAATAATAATATATAACTCTAGATATAAATTATTTTGACAAGTTAGTCTATATTGTTATAAAAAGAAATAACTAAATAAAAAATTCATAAAGACTACATAATAATGTACATTTTACAATCAGTATATCATTTTAAAATTAAAACAAAATATATGCATTGGAAAATTGAAAATTAACTTTGCTAATGTTTCAGGTATGAAGGCCCTCTCACGGAAGAGGCAGCCTTCGCCAAAGCCCTGGATGGTGGCCCGAAGTCGTTGGACTTCACAAAACTCGTTCACATTTTGGCGGAAGAGATTAAAAAGTTGTGCAATTTGGAGGAGACGGTCAACATGATGAATGATCCCGATGAATCTAGTTCCTTCCTACTTGAGCTTAGTTCCTTTTTAAAGGAGCTCAAGTGTCCATATAAGAAATTAGTTACAGGTATAATGCTTTTACAAGTTTTTATGTGTAGTTTCTATGTGTGTGCATTTTTTTTTGTGAGGGGTTAATAATCTAATTTCGTCTGCCGGTGCCCATGGTGCGAGTTTTTTTTATCTTATATGTCGGCAAACGAGCAGACGGATTACCTGATGGTAAGCAATCAGCGCCGCCCATGAACACCCGCAACGGAGGAGTTACAAGTGCGTTGCCGACGCCGGTTTTCTGTGAGGCCTCTTCCCTTCTATCACTCCAGTCGAGCCGACACATTCGTGCCGAAGCATGGCTCTCCCATACTTAAGTGGTGTCACACGTGAGTGTCAGACTCTTACTGACAACGAACCCGCTACGATTTGTAGGAGCCGAGCAGCGAGTGAAACCACGCGACAGAAGCTAGTAGTTTATAAAGCAAGTCCCACCGAAAAGCCACTTTTTTCTAAGTTATACAAACAGATTATTACATAATTACTAAATAATCCATTGTTCTAGGTCACATGTCTTCCCGTCTGCAAACGAAAGAGGATCGGCTTTTATTGTTAGACTATTTAATATCGGAGCTGATGGCTGCCAGAATGGTCAATGTAGACGGTCCCAAAGAAAAGCAGGGGGCCGGCATGGAAATTGTTGTTGTAAGTTTAATTTATTTCTTTTTTGTATGTATAAGTCTGCAAAGGAACAAGACAGATTACCTGATGGTAAGCAATTAGCGCCGCCTTGTAATACCAAAGGAGTTTCAACATGTGCATTGCTCTCTTGTGGGTTATTTACCTTTAAGGAATTTTGGAGGATTGCGCTGGTCTTCTATGAGGCCGTGGTATCACTCCGGTTAGCCGGCCCATTCGTGCATGGTTCTCTCACACTTGAACTACTAACTATCGACCCGTCTCGACTTCGCAAAGGTGTATGATGAATTGATGATACTTGATTTCTCCATTATTTAATAAATGCTTCTAAAATAATCTTCCTGTTCAAAAACTCTCTCTATTAAAAAACGGCTTCAAAATCCTTTCCTTAGCTTCAAACATTTAAGCATAGGTACATAGAGATAAAGGGACAGAGAAAGCAACTTTGTTTTATACAATGTAGCGACTAGTTTTTACATGTAACTTGGCCCAGATCAAAAGTAGCCTCCGTAATTCAGACTATTCTCGATTCCCATAAAGAAAGAGTAACAAACATCCATCCATTTATACTTATAAACTTTCTCGTTTATATGAGTAGGATTTATAATAATCGATCTTAAGTCAACGTCTTGATCTAGTTTCATAATAGATCGAATATTTTTTTTTTATTTACAGCAAGAATCACCGACTGCTAGAGACCTAAAGAACATTCTGATAGCATTGAAGTTCAACAAACCACCTCCTAACATTACAGCGGAAATGTTATTCTCCAAACTCGAAGCTAAACTCAAGGATACCATACAGAAAGAAGGTAAATGTTTATTTATTTATTTATTATAAGGTAGGCTCACAGCTTATGTATACAAAGTGGTTTAAAGTATTGGTTATAGGCATATACATTAGCCAGTTATGAGCTAACCAACATTCTATAAATTATGTGTTTATACAGACAAAATTATAGAAATTATAACTAGAACTAATTTAATTAACATAGGTAGGACAACAGTATTACTCATAGTAAAGTATTAACTAAATAAAATAAAAAATAAATTTTGATATGGGCTACCTTTTATAAATTTAGAATTATGCTACATGAAAGTGTAATGAAGTTATTATTTTAGACATTATAGATAGGAGTATACAAAAATTCGGATAATGTTTGTTTTATATAAAAACTAGTGGCCCGCCACTGCTTGGCATTGGTGTCCAACTATATTTTTTTTATGTCATTGGTCGGCAAACAAGCACACAGATTACCTGATGGTAAGCAATCAGCACCGCCCATGGGCACTCGTAATATCAAAGGATTTCTTAATGGGTCTGCGGACGACGAGTAAGGGTAGCTCGACGTCTGACCAGAACCAGACCCAGGCGTAAGGCGCGTAGTCTTCCGGGCGCGCCTTAAAGAGCCAATAGACCACTACAGACGGGGTCTTATAGGGCTGATGTTCAGCTGGGGTTGCGAGGCATGCGTATTAAGGCACCTCGACCTCGGCCCAGAGCAGGAGAAGGATCGGGGGATTTTTAGGCAGTAAGAGTCGAACACTCCATCCCGCCCCACCCTGGTACGATTTTCCCCTCACAAAAAACTCAGTGTGGTCTCAGTAGATCGCATCGCTTGCGCTGCCCTGGCCGGCTGGTTTCACAACACTAACTTTTAAACTTTTGCGTCTCATGTTAAGGAATTTAAGTAATTACTTTTCGCATTTTATTTTTTTGTTTTGTATAAAAAAATTGTTGCCCCACGTTAGGATTTTCTCCTGTGTCGTGGGTGCTGTTATAAACATACAATTTCACATACACAAGACACCCACACCCGGAACAGCAATTTGTGGATCACACAAAGAGTTGTTCCGTGCGGGTAATCGAACCTGCGACTCGTTGCACGGCAGCCAGTTGCCCAGCCAATGCACCAACCGTGCTTTCAAGTCAACTTTTCGCGTTAATACCTGTCTAATAATACGATTTCACAATATTTTGTTCTTCATTTTCCCAGGTAACCAGTTGGTTGGGAAACCCCTATACAACAAGGCTCTCTCGGAGAAAGAATGGAAGCAACTCGAGAATGCCTTCACCGAAATGTTTGAGGAGTATCGGCTGAGGAGGGAAACACTCATTACTCGTTTAGAGTGCACCATACAGAGTTTTGAGGTAAGATCGTAACTTTAAAAAATATACTGCAAATGATGGTCTTTCAATGTAATCTATGACTGAATGACGTTGAAATTCGTTATGTTAGGTATATGAAATGTTTATTTTTCAATCTTTCTGAGAGATGTAATGTATACTAAATGTTATATTAGTGAAATTGTAAAAGATACATATTGTTTTTAAAAAGAGTAACGTTGGAGTTTCTTTTTTTTTTTTTTTTTATTTTTTTTTTTAATTCTGACATGAGTATATGGGGTTTTTATCCACATGGATACGTCAACCCCATTGTACCTTATAACAACGACATATTATTTAGATTTTACCTAATACTATTACATGCAATCCTAACTCGCCTAGGTTCTACATAAAGGTATACAGAAACCTATCTATAAATACACAGTTATTCATTGCTTAAGCCTCAGAACTAAACCACACAACCTTTTAGCAACATAGGATTTAGGGTTCGCCAAAATACTCTGGATAAGTCCAAGATCTAAGACATTTAGTTTAAAGTCCTTAAACAATGAATCCCTTTCAGTTTTGTTCTTAACACATTCCATCAGCAAGTGTTGCACATCTTCTAATCGGTTGCAGACATCGCAGTTTGGAGATGTTGCCTTTCGCATGAGGAAAGCAAATTTTGCTGATGGAAAGTGTCCAGAACGAAGTCTTAGGGCAACTTTGACATAACTCCTACTTAAGTTACTGTCATCGAACCAAGGCACACGAGGAGGTTCAGTTTGAATGGCTTTGTACCATATTCCTTTTTCGCAAGAGATCTTGTTGAAGAGATCTTTCCAATTCTTAAAACAAGTGAGCTTAAATCTTGGAACATATTCCCAGTGATCAGGTAAATAAGAAATTTGACTTCCTGTTTCAATTGCCAGTTTTGCCAACCGGTCAGCCTCCTCGTTGCCCCGTAATCCTTTTGCTTTTTGAGTTTCTTGCTCTTTCTTCTCCATTCGAATCTACAACTTGAAACGAGCACCTAGCTTTACTGACGAACAGACTGACAGAGACTACTTTTCTATTTTGACGTTTCAAAAGTACCTATTTATGGTTTAGTTGGAATAAATGATTTTCACTTCGACTTTGATATTCTTAACATATTTTCCTGTAAGAACCTTCTACAGAGTATTAGTAAACTATATAAAAACAAATTATCCAAATCGGTCTAGCCGTTTTCATGTTACGGCGTGACAACGAAGGGTTTAATTTTTTTAATATCGATATTTTTTTGTTCCCACAGTGGTCGGACCGTCTCAAAACGAAGAGAGATATAATTCAGTCAACGTACCGTCCCAAAAGGGAGACTTTGAAAGTCAAACCTGATGTCAAGCTGGCCGACTTCCTAGCAGCTAGGACCTCACTGTTGCAAGTGGAAAAAACTTCGAGCGCATCCGTACGGAAGAATACTCAAACTGATGTCAACAAAGTTATTATTGGTCGGGTTAGTACTAAAATATATAAATAACTAGAGGCCCGCCCCTGCTTCGCACGGGTCCAACTATCTCGCTATGAAAGGCTCACTTTTTCCTAATCATCCCCTCTACTTTTCTAATATTTTCTTGATAAGAACCTTCTCCTGATAATAACAATCACAACAAAAAAAGAATTAGCAAAATTGGTCCAGGCGTTGTTGAGTTATGCGCTTACCAACACATTTTACGATCCATTTTTATATATAAAGATAAGAATTTATTACTCGAGTAATGTGTCTCATATTGACAAAAATGTGTCGGCTCGACCGGAGTGACGCCACGGCCTCACAGAACACCGGCGTAAAACAACCACAGCGTTGTTGTTTCGCCGTGTGATTGAGGTTACCGGTGGCCCCATCCTTCCTCTTTCCCTCCTCCCTTCCCAATCTTAAATTTACTAATACCGAAAAAGGTCGTCACACAACGCTGTGTGGTTGTTTCACGCCGGTTTTCTGTGAGGCCGTCGTACCACTCCTTAACTTCGCACTCAAACATATATAATATATTCAATTTTATTGTAAGATATCGTTTCAGGTCGTCGTTCATAAGCGTATTAATATAAATATATTTCATCCAGGTACCAGATAGAGGAGGCAGGCCCAATGAACAACAGCCCCCACCACCAGAAATGCCTTCCTGGCAACAGAGAAATGCTGTAAGTTAAGCAGTTTATTTATTTTTTCGTCAGACAATGCATGGTCTAAATTACTGAAGGCATTTTTTAACAGCACAAAAACCATACCTATGGTTGACTGTGAGGGTTAGAGAATGCCTTTATATACTTATATCACCTACCTAGGTGCAAAGAAATATAAGCGTTCGATACGATAATTAAAACAAAAAGAGAAACAAGAAAAATCTTTCATCAACTCATCTTTATTTAAGTTTTTTTTATTCTAAAAATAATTCATATGAGGTTTTTATTCATCAAAATTCGCCCACCTCATCATACGAGATTATATTAAACACACTTACCTCGTTTGAAATAAATTCGATTTACAACTTTTAAAAATAGACTAGATCTACGTTTTTGGATAATATTAATACATGTATTTTATATTTTTCAGGGAGGCGGCGGAGGTGGTAGAGGTGGTAGGGGTGGCGGCGGTGGAGGTGGCAACTACAACTCTAACTCAAACTTCAATAACTCTAGTTCCAACTTTAGCAACTCTGGCCCGAGTGGAGGGGGAGGAGGACAGGGAGGTCATGGAGGGCGCGGGGGACGAGGCGGCCGCGGAGGACGAGTGCAGGGCGGATATAGCCAGGGGGCTGGAGACCACGGCAGGTAACTGACGGATATATAATATTACATATATATATTTTCTAGAATAACTCATTTTATTTTTGTGTATTTTGACTGCACGGTTGGCGTGGTGGCTGGGCAACTGGCTGCCGCGCAACGTGTCGCGGGTTAACCGATACTTTTCTATGAAACACTGAGTTATGACGTCATAGTATTTTTATTTTTGCGTCATATAACTTTCTTATTTCTTAAAAATTACCTAAAAAATGAAAAAAGTAGTAGTATAGTCATTATTATAGTTATTTTTCAATATTTTATTGTATTGAAGCATCGAATTAATTTATTTTTGACCTAGGAAACTATCCAATTTTTGTTCGTTTATGTGTCATACATGTGAATACATGTATTTCCCCTCTTCTTTTTATTTTATATATCCAAATAAGTTTTTCTTTGACATTCAATTAGCATTTGTTTTGAATCCTGCTAATACTATAAATGCGGAAGTTTGTAAGTATGATTGGATGGATAGATGAAAGTTTGTTACTCACACATAAAAACTACTGATCCGATTTTGATGACAATTGCCTTATACATAGATTATAGTTTGGAATACAATAAATTATAGTTTTAAAAAAGCCACTGGCAGAACTTATGTATTCTTTTATGTATATTAGACTAGCTTTCAGAATTTTTATGTGAAAGAGTATATTAAACTTATAATTTATAATATCCGCGTTTTAAACTAATATAACCTAAAAAAACTAATTATTCATAGTTATTTAATTATGTAAATATGTATATTTAGATTAATATTTTATGTTTATATTATAAATTGTTATGACATTAATGTTAGTATTTTTGTAATATAATTTTTATTATTAATATGTGTATTTTTTTTGTTAAATAAATTAATATAAAAAGCATGCATTCTTCTTCTAATCCTATTGTGTTTTGTCCAATTTATGTGTTTATTTATATATGTTTTAAGGGCTGATTTTTCAACAGTCAGATTAATGTTACCTGCGGAATAAAATTGATTCTGTCAGAATGTTTGTATAAGACTGTGAGAGCAACAATTTTATTTTTCAGATAATATTTGTCTGAGTACTGAAAAATCTGCTCTAAGCTAATAATACTAATATGTGTAGGTAAATTTCGTTTGTTCAAACCAATATGTGTGTGTGTGTGTGCTAACTGAACTTCGTATCGCCCTAAGAATACAGAACAAACCAGAATCCGCGTTCACTCATAATTACATGTCGTCAAATGTGTCCAAAAACAATACGTCAATCCCCCCGCCAGCCGCACTTCCCACCCGCGTAGTGTTGCCGACAGTGGAACAATTCCCTTGGTTTGGGGTAATTTTACAACAGGAGGGTAACATATATATTTTGTTGGGTAAACCCAAAAAAATAGGTAAACTTACGATAAATGCAACAGAGCAGTTGTTCACACATTTCATGGAGGTATCATAGAAGTTGACGATTTCTGACTGTGTTAATTTTAATTACACCTTACCATACACAACAAATAAAACAAAGCTTCTATAGGTACAAGGTTTTATTGCGTTCCCTTTTGCTGGTTTAGTTTTTTATTATATGTATTGTCTTTAGACTCGGAACTAAAGATTAGAAGTCTACATACTTTACTTAGTTCCTGAGATTAGCGCATTCAAGCAAACAAACAAATTCTTCAGTATTATAATTAGTATAGATATATCTCAGTAGGAAATGCTATTTTCAAACCACCTTTGTCATAAATATATCTCTTCAAAGTGAATCGAGCAAACTATGCTCTGGCTAGATGGTTTCCAAAATTAATCTAACCGTGCCCTTTGTATGATTATTATTTTTTTTGTTAGTGGGCAGTGAAACTCATATGACATAGGCTCCATAATGGACAAAAATATAACTCACAACAAATAAATAAGTGGGTAAAATTTTCACCAAAAATGACAACACTTACAAAATGGCCGCATCATTTTCATAGAAAAATAAATCGATAAAAAATTCAATATGCAGATGAAATGTAATCTTATCCACTTTTTTCGTAATTCCAGCCGCATTTTTACTCGTAGGAATAACACAAGACGGCATAATGAAATTAAAATTGATACTCGTAAATACGTCACGACATGCCACGTGCCAAAATTGACTAATCGTAGAAATTTTATAATTCTCTAGTTAAGAATGGTTTTAGTTGCTTCAGTTTGAAGCGCGTTGACGCCTTCTGGTTTGTTCTGTATTCTGAGGTATCGCCCTAAAATTGTGCATTTTGCTCAGTTAAAATAATATTGTTTTGAAAGTCGATAAATTTACTGCACCATTGACGCGATGGCTGGACAAAGCTGCCGTACAACGTGTCGCGCGTTCGATTCCCGCACGGAACAATTTTGTATGTACCTCGAAATTGTAGTGTGATGTGCATGTGAAATCGTATGTTTGGAAATGCAACCACGACACAGGAGAAAATCCTAGTGTAGGGCAACGTGTTTTAATTTTTAGTTTGGCAATATTAATTATTAGTTTGGCATCGCCAATCTGCCTTGAGCAAGCGTAGTGATTAATGCTCAAACCTTCTCCGTGTGAGAAGATGCCTTTGTTCAGCTGTGGGCACTTATAGGCTTATCGATGACGATGATGGACTGTATATTATTTCGCCAGGTCTCAACAGAACAGAAACTACCAGACGTACGAGGTTCCTCCGGGTGGTTACAGCAACCAGAACCAGTACAGCCATGCTCAGACGTATGAACCAGACCAGAACTACAACCAACATAACCAGGGCTACAGCGGTTATGGCCAAGGTGGTTACGACAGCATGGGCAGTTATAACCAGGGGTATCAAGGTATGTAGCTCTGATCTTTGTATGTGATATGTAGGCAAACGAGCGGACGGATTACCTGATGGTAAGCAATCGGTGCCGCCTATGGACACCCGCAACACCAAAGGAGTTACATACACCAACGCAACATACAAGTGCGTTGCCGGCCTTTTGGGGATAGGGGTTGCGGATATAAGGATCGGGAAGGGATAGTGGAAGGGGAGGGATTGGGCCTCCGGTAACCTCACTCACGAGCCGAAGCTTGGCTCTCCCACACTTAAAAATTTGCTTGACCGATTTACCGGCCTCTTGTGGGTTATTAGGGATAAGAGGATTGCTGACGGATTTTGGAGGAGGTGGGGAATTTGGCCTCCAGTAACGTCATTCATACGTTGAAGCAGGCAAGCAAGCTTCGTTTTTCTAACTCAGGTCGAGTCAACCCATTTGAACTGAAGATTGGATCTAAGCAGATAATATTTTGACTGCACGGTTGGTGCAGTGGCCGGGCAACTGGCTGCCGTGCAACGTGTCGCGGGTTCAATTCCCGCACTAAACAACACTTTCTGTGATCGACAAGTTGTTGTTCCGGGTCTGGGCGTCATTTATTTTTATTCCTTGGTATCATGTGCACGTGAAATATTATGTTTGTAACCGCATCCACGACACAGGAGAAAATCCTAGTGTGGGGTAACGTATTTTAAAAAACGAAATAAAAGTATACTTATTTTAATTCTTAGAAATCGAATATGAGAAAAGTAAAACAGAATTGTTTATTCTATTTCCTTTGTGTCTTTTTTTTGTGTAAGGAGAAGTGAACTTACTGACATAAAAACCCCCCCGTTCCTCCTCCTGGTCTGGTACCAGGTCGCGGTGCCTCATTGCGCTTACCCCGCAACTCGGGGCTCTATCGGGCTCCGTCTGTATTTCCTTTGTGCCTAGTATTACGTTTTTTGGCTTCTGCATTACATTCATAGAAGTGCGAAAACTATTTCGTTTTGTTCTCACTAAAAATATTTTCTTATTGGTCTTATTGCGAGATTGAAGACCGTTATTGACTGGTGGACTGGTTTTGGGAGCAATTTAATTACTATACTTCAACAAATCCTTTAGTAATAGGTACCTACCTCTCACCATTTTTATATTACAATTACATAAAAATATTGTTTTTGATTGCTAGGTGGCGGCGGCGGCGGTGGCTACAAGAAACCTTACCAAAACAATCAAGGCTACCAACATAACCAAGGGTACCAGGCCAACCAGGGCTACCAGTCCAACCAGGGCTATCAAGGCAGAGGAGGGTATCAGAATGAACACGACGATAGAGACCGCCGTGGTCGGGGAGGCTACAGAGGCGGGAGACGTTGATCTACATAGGTAAAATGTTGCCAACAATAATACATTACTTATTAATTATAATTTATATATATAATCCTGCTTTACGTATGTACATATGTCATTGAACTCCTCCTCAACGGCTTGACTGATTTAAATGATTTTTTCTGTATGCGTTTGAGTGGCGCCCTGAATGGTTTTGTTTCACAATCCAGCCCGGCAGATGGCGCTGATTGCTTGATAAAGAATGTGTGATCTCGGAAACGACCCTAACGATTTTGCTGAAATTTGATGTGTAAGGTTTTTCGGGAGGGACTGCTAGTTAATAATAATATGTTTTTCATCTTCTTTTAGGACAAAATATAATGTTTCTTGTGTTGATTTTCATGTCATTAGTTGAATTTCAAAAATTAGGTAAACAACATTGTTTTGGTATTAATTGATATTAACTATTTATAAAAGTAACTTGACTGAGAAAACTCGAATCCATCTCCAGTCCTCAAATTTTCAACAAGGTCGGCAACGCACTTGTTGTGACTCCTTTAACATACAATCTTACAAATTTTACCTCTTTATAATCTATACTAATATTATAAAGAGATAAAACGTAAGTTTGTAAGTTTTTATGTAGAGGGTAATCTTTGGAACCACTGGTCGGTCCATGGTTATTTTTTCTGTGTTAAAAATCTGGCAACATAATTTTGTAGTTTGACGTTTGCAGTTGTCAAATGGTTGTCTCTAATTATGGAACGAACTGTAGTATAGATAAGTATGTCAAACCATAGATACTTTTAAAAAAAATATATAATCTCACTGTCCTTGGCCAAGCGCGAATATGGTATAACAGAATTTATACCGGTTATTAAACTCCCAGCAATAAACCTTCCCCGAGCCAAAAACATAAAAAGCGATGCAAGTTTAGGAGTGTGAATAGTGTACCGCGGCTCCGGCCCCAAGAAGTAGAAGCGACGGGGTGGTTATAGTCAGTAAGAGTCTCGAGACACTCCCTCTTTCCAACCACAAACCAACTGACGACTTTCCCACTTAAAAAAAAAAACTAGGTGATCGCTACGGTCTGAACAAAATACTCTTTCGTGTCGTCGCTCGATATTTCAAATGAATAATATATTGTTTCAACATCATTTAGATCTGATTTTTCAATAGTCAGGTAAATGTTATCTGAGGAATAAAATTGTTGCTGTCACTGTCTTATACAAACATTCTGACGCGACAGCATCATAATTTTTCCCCAAGAAACTTTTATATAGTCCATTGAAAAGTAATTTATATTCATATAATTAATTAAGTAAATAGCAGGTTGTATAGATAGAAAAATACATTAAAAAGTATACTGTGATCAAAACAGACTGGGTTTTCAATAATTCACAATACAATATATGCACAATTTTCAATTCAAAATTACCCTGTGTATGTTGGTTTTGATGTGATAACTTTCAAAGTTTTTTTGTTTTAATAGAAATTCTACATTCATGTTAAATGAGCCAATGAAAAGATGTTTTTTATAGATTTTTCTTATTAACAGAAAAAAATATTATTATCAATATTTTAGTCCAGTAATATGTATAAGATTTAGCAATAATAACATTAATTTTTACTTACAATTTTACATTGGGCGCTCCAATATAAAAGTTGTAAGCTCAATAAACACTCATGTCCATTTCCGACAGCAGCGCCATCTACTCGAGTCCATATTTTGATTTTCCTATGGGATTTCATGCTGTACAAATTCAGTTTTCTTGTTTAAGTAGTGAAACTTTTAAAAAAAGGTTATTTTTTTAATCTGAACCACTCTTTGCAATTGCGGATTGGCTTTACTTATCCATCAAACAAAAAAAGCACATACAAGGGCTGATTTTTCAATAGACAAATAAATGTTATCTAAGGAATGAAATTGTTGCTGTCACTGTCTTATACAAACATTGTGACGCGATAGCATCATAATTATTCCGTAGATAACTTTTACCTAACCATTGAAAAATGTCCTAAACGAAATAAGGAAAAAACATAAAGTGATATCAGTACTACAGTATCTAATTTTATTGTATGAAATATACTTAAATTAAACATATTTACAATTATATAAAATGTACTACTCGCATATACCTCGCCACAATTATTACTACGCAAATTATATAAAAATAGTAAATGTAAAAACTTTTTTTATTTCTACAGAATTGTTAGGTTTTTCTTTTTTTTTTGTAAACTCAAGTTTTTTTTTTGTAAAAGACATCTTTTTGCATGTGAATAGTGTTTGGGATTTGACTCCCGCACGGAACTAACGTGTGTGTGTCATCGACATTTTCATAAGTTTGTTGTCCTTGCCGAAACATAATAATAATAACATTAATTTTGCACTAAATTGAATCTCCTTTTCTAATCAACGTACTTATTAAAGTTTTTTTAATTCAGCAGTAAACACAAAATATAATTAAGGCTCTTTTTCACGATAACATTCTCTTGAATAAACAGGAGCAATAATTATTGTATTCAGTAAACTGAAGTCTCGTTTACATTGTATCATGCATATTGTTTATAGTTAAGACCATGCAAGTGAATAATTACTTTGATTAATTGATCAAACAACGGGCATCGTGTAAATGGGGATTTAATTGATCAGTTGTTAATTTTTTAAGAATACTTTACATAATATGAATTCTTGTATTCGTAGGAAAGTAGTGTCAGCGTATTACTGTACTCAGCGCAAAGGGCGAAGATATGGGCAGATTAGTCATTTCAGATATCAATCAATATGTCCTGGTTTCCTGAAGATGTTTTTCTTTATTGCCGTATAATTTATATTATTAATTAATGTTATCTCTCATTCTTTCACTTCTTTATTTGTAATAACTAAAGGATTTATTTAGTGCTGATTTTTCAATAGTCTCATAAATGTTATCTGACTGTCACTGTCTTATACAAACATTCTGACGCGACAGCATCATAATTATTTCCCAGATTACTTTTATCTAATCATTGAAAAATTAGCCCTTTATTAACAAAATTCAATTCGATACTGTGTGTTGTTCGCTATAGAATACATTTTAAAGTACTCGAAACCTTTAAGTAATTAATTGCAATACTTATATTAATTTAACATTGACAATGTTATTAATAAGCTTATATTTTATTTTATTATTTATTATTGTAATGCAAGTCTCGAAAGTATCTTCTGATTTACAAGTTTTCTTATTAAATAAATAAATTATATCATGAATGTTTTGTAATTTTATTTGAGAGTCACTGCCTGTCACACAGAAAAAAAAAACAATCAGCCGAACATATAGTACCTCCTCCTTTGTTTGAAGTCGGTAAAAAAAAATCGGCGTTAAGCAACACTTAAGTTTTGTTTCGCCTTGTGAGGTTACCGGCCCAATTTTTCTCCCCTACCCTATCGTCAATCCTCAAATCCCCTGTCGATCCCGTACCAAGAGGCCAGCAACGCTCTTGTGGTAGCTCTTTAGGCACTACGAGTGTCCACAGGCGGCGCTTATTGCTTACCATCAGGTAATCCACCTGCCCGTTTGTCGACCTATGACATAAAAAAATTGTGGAGGGAATGAGATCGTAAAGGTTTGGTGATGGGTGGCTTTTTTGGATGGCCACTGGATAATTAGATGAAAGCGGCCTTGGAATAAAACTGCTGATAAACTAACTAGGTAGGTAGGTACAATAAATTCGGCAAGGCAACCTATATATACCGTTAAGGACGGTGATAGCCTACTAACGAAATCGAAAATGCCCATATAATATATAAGTACAAGCGTGTAAGTATTTTATTACACAACTGTCCAAAAGTGTTATGTTTTTAGTATGTGAGTGTATTCCACTGTAACTTCCAAAGTTTCAAACGCCTGGGCTGATATAGACATGTAGCATATTGTTGGAATCCTTAAATCATCCCGAGTGACATAGGCTAGCTAGGTTGTATTGTATTATATGTGTAAGTTTTTAGGAAGACTAACAAACAACAATTCATTCTTATTTATTATATAACATTATTATATTAAACACACAAATGTACTTGTGATGCAGGCACTTTTTACCTTAGAATTCACACAAAATTAATGAAGAACTAATCAAAATTAGTAAAAAATTAAAATCAATTTGACTAACAACGAAATAAATGGAAAAAATAATGATGAACATCGCAAAGCTATAATCCATTGGATTAATATAACAAATTAATTCATTAAAAATGTACCTACTTAAAATAAAAGAGAACCATGGAATAATTAACATTGATTTTTTACGGTCCTCGCTGAGATTTTATATATGCTGTGCAAGGAGGTTGTAGTATTAGCGACCTCGAAGCAATGAGGTGGATTATTCTCTTTTGTCTTTGCCTGGTCGTTGTGCTAGCTGCGCCAGCGGTGAGTAAAATAACTGTAGGTGCTGGGTGTTCTCCTAAAAATGTTGTAGTGGGCCGGATGTTGCGAAATCTGGATAAGGTGTGAGGAAGCGCCATCTAGGTCGATGGCTGTCTGCGTGGTATCATTCTAGCTCAAGGTGGAAGGCTTTGACGTTCTCTACGCCGAGGTGTCGCGTTCTGTACGAATCGCAGGGCCTTGAAGATGGTGTGCAGCGTCATGGTCCTGGTGGCCACCTGTAAAGGACACTGAGATTTCCTATAAACCTGCTCCAGAGGATTGATGATTCAACGCCTGTTACGGCACATCTCGAATCGTTGTACACGAGGGCTTTCCTGAGGTTACTGGGTGGACGTCTAAAGATCCCACTGTCAAAGGTTCACCTACTGCAAAGTGCCCTCACCAAATGCAATCAGGATTTCGGCGTGTTAAACGCTTTCTACGAGCAGAAGCGGTCTTATCGCGATCCCGCTCAATAGCAATTTTCCGTTTCTGTCAGTATGGCAACCAAGATTCGCCGCTTAAAAACGCAAAGGCCCTCCATATGGGTGGCAGTTTGCCGTGGCCTCTTGCCCTATTCTATTCAGGTACTGACCAAAGCAAAGGACCTGAGTGAGCCTGAAGGACGCTAGCTACTCCCTTTTCAGCCAAGGTCGGCAGTGTGACAAAATGGTTCGACGAAGCGCTTGCGTGAGTAATTCGGCTGTTGTAACCCCCCACGCCACCGTCCAAGCACGTATCGCCTTTCCTCTTGCCTCAGTTTAACGAACGCTTTCCTGGCTATAGACCTTCACGCCTATATCAGGATATCAGCGGAAAACGAGCCTGGAGGGTTGCCGCCTCAAAGGGTATCGATCAGTAGATATCCTGATGCGATGCGAATGGCCATTTACCGCCCTAATTTCCGTCACCTGATAGTCTAACTGACCAAACGTTAGAATAAAAAATATTTTTCCATAAACTTTCTACTGAAAGTATCCCTTAAAATGAGCGAATTTATTGATGAACATTTTTTCACAGGACAAACGCGACCGCTACGATGACGATGATGACTCCAACGACAAAGACAATTTGGTACATAAATATTATGTTTATAATAATTACCTTTGACTTTGACTACTAGCTTTTGCCCGCTACTTTGTTCGCGTGGAATAGTGACTTTCTGCAGATTTTTGATTAAAAAACTATCCTATGTTTTTCTCGATTTTAAAACTATGTCTGTACAAAATTACACAAATAGGTTCAGTAGTTTAGGCGTGAAGAAAAGACAGACAGACAGAGTTTCTTTCGCATTTATAATATTATATAATTTGGATTAGAGCTAAGAATCATAACTATCTTACTAAATTTATTGAAAATAACGACTGACTCACATGCATTAACTGAGCAAAGCTCTTAGGTATTCATAAAAAGCATTCGTGTCAATGCCACGTCGAGCGGTCGACTATTGTAGATCTTTTCTCAATTTATTCACATGGGTAAGCTGTTTTTTTTTCAATAAATGTTTACCAGCTTTATTTTAAATCTGCAGAGACTTGGCCGTGTCAACAACGCTGATAGAAGAGAACGCTACGGCAGGAGTGACCAATCCAACCAAAGGGAAAGTAGTAGATCCTACAAACGTAATTACTGGTATTATGTCTCAAAAAGATACGATGATAGCAGAAATCGTGCTCAAAATTATAATAGCAAAAATGACGACTGGCGAAACGTATATAACAACGACAGACAAAACAAACGCGAAAGCAGATACGACAATCATAGATATGATGATAGAAATAATAATGAGAGGACTAGCTACAGTAACAGCAACTACGATCGATATGATAACGGCAGACAAGACAAAGACCGTTGGGACAACAGATCTGGCTCAAAATACAACTATGTTAACGACAGATACGATCAACGGGAGAGATCTTATGATAATCGGGCTAACGATGACCGAAGGGACAACGACAGGCGAGAGGCATACAGACAAGTTAACGACAGGCGAGACGATGATAGACGATATGACGACAGGCGTGATGACGATAGGCGAGATAACGATAGTCAAGAGGACGGCAGGCGTGAAGTCGACCGACGAGATGATGAAAGGCGAAATGACGATAGGCGTGATAATGACAGACAAGATGACGACCGCAGAGACGATGATAGACGAGATGAAGAGAGACGAAATAAAGAAAGACGTGAAAATGACAGGCGAGATGATGACCGCAGAGATGATGAAGACAGACGAAACAATGAAAGACGTGAAAATGACAGGCGAGATAATGACAGGCGAGATGACGACAGGCGTGATAATGACAGACAAGATGACGACCGCAGAGACGATGATAGACGAGATGAAGAGAGACGAAACAAAGAAAGACGTGGGAATGACAGGCTAGATGACGATAGGCGTGATGAGGATAGGCGAGACGAGGACAGGCGTGATGAGGACAGGCGATATAGAAACCGCGGGGACGATGATAGACGAAATGAGGACAAAGTAAACAACGAAAGGCGTGGTAATGATAGGCGTGATGCCTACAGACAAGATGACGACCGCAGAGACGATGATAGACGAGATGAAGACAGACGAAACAACGAATGGCGTGAAAATGACAGGCGAGATAATGACAGGCAAGATAACGACCGCAGAGATGATGAAGACAGACGAAACAATGAAAGACGTGAAAATGACAGGCGTGATAATGACAGACGTGAAAATGACAGGCGTGATGACGACAGACGAGATAATGACAGACAAGATAACGACCGCAGAGATAATGACAGACAAGATAACGACCGCAGAGACGATGAAGAAAGGCGAAACAATGAAAGACGTGAAAATGACAGGCGTGATAAAGACAGACAAGATGATGACAGGCCTGATGATGACAGGCAAGATAATGACAGACAAGATAACGACCGCAGAGATGATGAAGACAGACGAAACAATGAAAGACGTGAAAATGACGGGCGTGATAATGACAGACAAAATGATGACAGGCGAGATGATGACAGGCAAAATAACAACAGACAAGATAACGACCGCAGAGATGATGAAGACAGACGAAACAATGAAAGACGTGAAAATGACAGGCGTGATAATGACAGACGTGAAAATGACAGACGTGACGACGACAGACGAGATAATGACAGACAAAATAACGACCGCAGAGACGATGAAGACAGACGAAACGATGAAAGACGTGAAAATGACAGGCGTGATAACGACAGACAAAATGATGACAGGCGAGATGATGACAGGCAAGATAATGACAGACAAGATAACGACCGCAGAGATGATGAAGAAAGACGAAACAATGAAAAACGTGAAAATGACAGGCGTGATAATGACAGGCGTCGTGACGACAGACGAGAAAATGACAGACAAGATAACGACCGCAGAGAGGATGAAGACAGACGTGAAAATGACAGGCGAGATAATGACAGACAAGATAACGACCGAAGAGAGGATGAAGACAGACGTGAAAATGACAGGCGAGATAATGACAGGCAAGATAACGACCGCAGAGAGGATGAAGACAGACGTGAAAATGACAGACGAGATAATGACAGACAAGATAACGACCGCAGAGAGGATGAAGACAGACGTGAAAATGACAGGCGAGATAATGACAGACGTGAAAATGACAGACGTGATGATGACAGACAAGATAACGACCGCAGAGATGATGAAGACAGACGAAACAATGAAAGGCGTGATGACGACAGGCGAGACAATGACAGGCAAGAAAACAACCGCAGAGACGATGATAGACAAAACAGCGAAAGAAGTGAAAATGACAGGGAAGATGATGGCAGACAAGTTAACTACCGCAGAGTCTATAACAGGCGAAGCGAAGGCAGGCAAAACAACGAAAGGCGTGATAACGACAAGCGAGATGATGAGAGGCGGGATGATGATAGACAAGGTAATAACAGGCAAGGCAGGCAAGATGACGACCGCAGAGAAAACGATAGAAAAAATGATGACAGACGAAACATCAAAAGGACAAATAATGACAAGCGTGACAAAGACAACAACAACACTAACAGCAGATATAAAAGACTTCGTTTAGGCGTATCGTGTACAGGGACTATGTTTTGAGACACAGGCAAATATTGAGGCAAATAATGAAAAAGCTGTTTAAGATTGACGTGATGTTCCTGAATTTATTTTTCGTAATTTATAAACTATTAAATGAGAAAGACAGATAAATGTAAAAATCGATATTAAAATAAACATTCTGGCAAACGTTTACTGCCTTTCTTTTTTTTGTTAGAAAACTGACATTACCTACTTCAAAGGAACCATTTTACTCGTCTACCCACTTTTCAACGTCTGAAAAAATAATTAAAAGTGCCAGTTTGTCTGTTAACCCTTTAAAGCTTAGATTCCTATATTTTCCTTCCCCAGCTAGGAACTCCATTTTACTCTTTATATTTTTCATCAATTTAGCAAACAAGTTCTTTGTTACATTATTAAATTTCAAAGTACAATCAAACAAGAAAATAACCTCAAGGAAAAAGTTTAGATGTAGGTACTGTCTGTGATTATTTAGATAACGCTGACATACGGTGAACGAGATATCGTGAGGATAGATGTGATGGCAATCGGCGCCGCCCATGGACACCCGCAACACCAAATGAGTTACAAGTGCATTGCCGGCCTTTTGGGGATATAAGGATTGGGAAGGGATAGTGGAAGGGGAGGGATTGGGCCTCCGGTAACCTCACTCACACGGCGAAACACAACACTGTGGGTTGTTGCACGACGGTATTCTATGAGGCCCACTCAGAATGAGGCCCATCACTCCGGTCGAGCCGACCCATTCGTGCCGAAGCTTGGCTCTCCCACACATAATGTTTAAACCTTCTCCATGTGAGAAGAAGCCTTTGCTCAGCAGTGGAGACTTATAAGAGGAGGTACAATGTGCGAAGATTTGCTATTTAGTTCTGCTAAAAGTAATCTGAACAAAGTATCCACGCTCAAAGAAGGCAAAAACAGACAGATTTGTTTTCAAAGTATCATAACCTTAGTTAATACCAATTTTTGGCGCGTGACTTGAAAGATGGGTGGGTAGTGTGATTAAATAAATAAATAAAATAAAAAAATAAAAAAGCCTATTATTTCTTGCTACACACAGTAAATGTACACTTATAATTAAGAAAAAACAAAAAAAGTATCATAAAAAAAATATATAGTTATAAAATAAAAACAGTTAAAAGGTTTTTTTTTATTTTTTTTTTCTGCAAGAACCCCTCTCATTAGAAGGTGAAGGCCTCCTCCAGGGACAACCAGTGCTGTCTATCTTCCGCTGCTCTCATCCAGTGGGCACCTACTACTTTTGTGATGTCATCTGTCCAGCGTGTATTTGGTCTACCCCTTTTTCTGTGGCCCGATGGTCCCAACCATGATGTTGCTGATGTTTAGTCCAGCGATTGTCGTTAATTCTTGCCACATGCCCAGCCCATCTCCATTTCATTTTCTGAGCATAGCTGAGAGCGTCGATGACTTTAGTTTTTTGCCTGATTTTGGCATGGCGGATTTTTTGGATCTTTCTGATCTTTAGTATGCTTCTTTCCATGCTTCTTTGTGTTGTTGTGATCTTATTTTTTGTTTTCTTTGTAAATTTCCATGTTTGACAGGCGTATGTCAGTGAGGGTAGTAGGCAGGTGTTCATGACTTTGATTTTCAGTTTTATGCTCATATCGCTTTTAAAAATTTCTTTTAGACTCCAGAACTTTTTCACGTGATGTTTGCTCTTCTCTCTACTTCTCTTTCGTTGTTGTGTCGTCTGAATGAAAGTTGTTTTCCTAGATAAATGTAGGTATCAACATAGGTTAAGGTCATATTTTCAAGGTATATAGGTTTTTCAGTATGGTTCGTCATCACTCTCGTTTTGTTAATGTTGATTTCCAATCCTACTTTACGACTTTCTTCGTGTAAAGAATTTATCATCATTTGTAGTTGACTAATGTTTTCAGATAGTAGAACTATGTCATCAGCGAACCTAAGATGGCTCAGGTATTTTCCGTTTATATTTATGCCGGCTTTCTCCCAGTTGAGATTACGGATGATGGACTCTAGTACCGTTATAAATATTGTTGGAGAAATTGGGTCTCCCTGTCTAACACCTCTCTTTATTTGTATTGCAGGCCCTGTGGTCTCCAACTTGACTCGGCTAGTGTTATTGTCATAAATATTTTTTAGGACTTGTATATAATCCAATTTAACTTTTTGGGAGAGGAGAGCTTCCCAGATCGAGGTGTGGAGTAGAGTATCAAAGGCTTTTTGATAGTCGATAAAAACAACATAGAGTGGTCTGTTGAACTCTTGGAATTTTTCTATAATCATCTCTAGCGTGTGTATATGGTCAACTGTAGAGTAACCTCGCCTTAAGCCTGCCTGTTCGACCGGTTGAAATTTTTCTGTTGTTTCTTTAATTCTTTTCTCTATTATGGAGGAAAAAAGTTTATATATTGATGGCAGTAGGCTGATAGGCTTGTAGTTGCTAACATCATTTGGATCTCCCTTTTTGTAGAGTAAGATTATTTCCGACTCTGACCACTGTTTTGGAGTGTTTTTGCTACTCAGTATCATGTTAAACAGTCTGGTTAGAGGTCTGACCAATTACATGCAACCTGATTTTATAGCTTCATTTGTTATTTTTTCAGGCCCTGGACTTTTATCAGTTTTTAGTGCTTTAATACCATTTAGCACTTCGTCTTCATCAATGCTTTCTTTCTCCATTTCTTCAACGTTACTCGGTAATGTATATGTTGGTTGGTTTGGTGAGCTATATAGGTTTCTGTAAAAATCTGTAGCTATTTTTAGTATTTCGGTTCTATTTTGTGTGGTACTATTTTTGTTTTTCAGCTCTTCATCCATGATTTATGTGTTCTTAGTTCTTTGTACGCTTTTTTAACGCTTCCCGTGGTATAAATATGTTTTTCAATGATTTGTGTGCGGTGTACTTTGTAATCTTGTTTGATATACTTACTTATGAGCTTATACAGTGCTGTCAGTTCTTTTTTCATTGCTCGAGTTTTCTGTTTTGTTCTATGTATAACGTGTCTTCTGTTAATCAATGCCTTTGTACGTGCTGACAGAAGGTATTTGGTTTTTCTTTGTGTTTGCGTTAGGTGTCGGTTCGCTTGCTTTCTTCATACTGGTATTGATTGCGTTTGTTATTTTGTCGTAGTAGTCCTGAACGGAGTCTGCGTCGTCACAGTATTCAAGTAGATTTGTAGAGAAACTTTTCAGTGATTTGGTGTAATTTTGCACTTCATCTTCCTTCTTTAACTGTGATTTAGGACATTGACCGAATTTGCAACGGGTTTTTGGCTTTGAAAATGTTTTGAGTGATATCCTAACCGGCCTATGGTCTGATGGATAGGTCACGTTTAAGACCTGTATATTGTCTACGTTTTTTTGCAAATTTGTCAAGATGAAGTCTATTTCATTTTTGGTATAACCATTTCCAAGTCCATCTCTGTTTATTGTTCTTCTTAAAATAAGTATTCATAATGGTTAAATTGTTAGCATGCGCAAAATCAATAAGTCTGCTTCCTCTACTGTTTCTTTTGCCGTATCCATATTTTCTCACGCAGGTTTCGTTTAGTTTGGGTTGCCCAATTTTAGCATTAAAGTCACCCATGACTATTATGTTATTTCCTGAAAGCTGTATGGCGTTATCAACAGTGTTGTAGAAAAAGTCAAGATCTTCATCTTTCGCATCTTCTGTTGGGGCGTAAGCCTGTATGATATTTAAGTCTAGATTGTTAATATGTATTTTTAGCAGTGCTACTCGTTCTGACAGTCCCTTAAAACATGTTATGAATTTTTTTAGATGTTTTTTGATGATAAAACCTACTCCGTGTAATCCTGGGGTACTTCCGATGTGGTAGAGAATAAACTCATCATGTTCTTCTATTTTGATGCCGAGTCTTCTTACTTCTGAGAGGCCAATAATTTCATATTTTACATTTCTCAAAGATTCTGTCAATTCCAGTAGACGTGAATAAGTTGATAAGGTTTTTACATTGTAAGTGCCTATATATAAGACATCTTGATGATTGTTTTCTGTAGTGTTTGTCGTTACTTTTATTTCTCCTGGAGGGTTTTGGTCATAATCTTCCACGGGGACCAGCCGGCTTGGAAGATGTGGTTTTATATACGCTTCAATTTGTAATTTATTTTCCGTGTTATTCGCGAGAGGGGGAAGTAATTGTTATTGATTTTGGTTTTTATTAATTATGGCGTTTGGTAAGATATTTTGATTGTTAGTAGTTTGAGTTTTAGATGTTAGGAAACCAAGGATGCCAGGTTTGACCACTCCTTCTGTTAAACTTGCAGATCTTTGCATTCTTATTTGGGTTTTATTCTTTTTGTGAACTTGTGATTTTGATTCTTCTTGGGTAGGATCAATACCATTTGGTGATATTGGTAAAGCCCTTTTTTTCTTGTTTGAGTTGTCTGCATTTTTATTGTGTATTATCAATTTGTCATACTATATGGTGGCGAGGTTTCCTTTTTCCCTTTCAGTGTTAACATGTTCTTGTAGTTCCGTTCTTTTTTCCAGTAGTGTGATTAATGAAATAAAAATTGTTGGATTGCAAGGTTGGCGCAGTGGCTAAGCAACTGGCCGCTGTGCAACTTGTCGCGGGTTCGATTTCCGCACGGTACAACACATTGTGTGACCCACAAATTGTACTTTCGGGTTTGGGTTTTTTTTGTGAGGGGAAAATCATCAAATGAATTCTCCCGCCCAGGGCCGGGCGGGAGGGAGTGTCAGACTCTTACTGACTAAAAACCCTTCTTGACACACTGAAATTAAGGTTGCCCTTAATTTCAGTGTGTCGAAATTGTGCCGCGATAGCCTTTGAGTCGACTGCGCGGCCCGCTGATTCCCAGTGAGTCGGGTGAAGCGATGCGGGCTAATAAGGAACACCAGTGAGTCGGAGTCGTCGCAGTGTCCCACGGTGAGTCGGGGAAGAGGTTAGGTGCGTAGTGCAGAAAGCAGAATGTCGGTCCATATGTCAGCTTGGAGTTGTCATGCTCACTCAAAGGTCACATTGGCGGTGGTACGGTCACTGGATCGCTCGATTCCCTATATTATGGTTGAGTTGGGCGATGCTGGTGTACGTGTCATGCTCGTGAACGGGCGCCGTCAATTGGGACTGGTCAGCTCCGGACTGTCTATTGTCCTTAAGGTTATTTTCTTTTTATGTTTCTCTGTATACACGCGTTACACTGTTCTCACATATTCAAACTAACTAAATAATGTATCAAAGAATGTTTATGTGACACTGATTTTAAAAGAGTAACCATGGAGTTTCTTGCTCATTCTTCTCCATCGGAATCTACACTTTGGAACGAGCGAATAGCTTCACTAAGAGGACTGACCGACAGACTGACACTTTGTATCTTTAAAGTTGTGTTGACGTTCAAAAGTGCCTGTATGGGTCCAATTGAAATAAATAATTTTGACTTTGACTTTGACTTAGTGGCGGGCGTCTGCGTTTGAATGGGAGGTGTCCCCTTCGAAACCGTGAGCAAAAGTGCTGTGTCTAGACACTGATGAGGCCGTAGGGAAGACTAGGCTTCCGCGTCTTCGCTGCAGCCGTGTCCTTCTCCGTGGTGGTCCTTTTCGTACCGTACTCATGCCGCCGGCCGCGGCGCAGCTCACCGTTTTGTCTTCGGCCATAGCTTACGCGTTCTTCCCCCGTGACCCCGACCACCAGTATGACGGGGAAGGAGATAAGAATAGTATAGAGAGATAAATAATATGTTTATTCATAGCTTTATGATCACGTAAAAAATAATTTCTAGTTCCTAAATACCACTAAACGTTATCCTAGAACGTGCGTGCGTTCGTGCAGCGGAATGTTGTTGAATTTAAAGATTTTAATTATGCAGATATTTAGTGTATGACGTCGTATAATTGTGTATGAAAAAAAAAAATTGTGCACGCAACCATTGTGGAGAAATTCACCGAAAACTGATTCCGCTGGGCGAACGTTGTCCTGGCGGAACTTTTTTTAATCCATAGACTTTAGAAGAAAAGAGATGTAACCAAAAATTAGTGTGTATTTGTGTGTAATTGTGTATGTATGAATAAAACTAGTGCATGCATAAACTTCGGAGAAATGCAAGTTTCCGCTACGCGAACGTTTGGCCATTACCTAGTTTTCATATAAAGCGCTTACATAGAGAGCTGTAGATTTTTACATACGTTGTTTTGAATTTGTGTATATTTGTTTAAAAAACAGATTTAGAAAAAATCGTAGGGTTTAAAAGATAAAAATATAAACGTAAAATACGCTTATTAGGTCTTAGTTCTTAAAGTATGCACTTTGGGGTCTAGATTTTCACGTTTATACAAACCTTGTAAGTGTCTGCAACATGTTGCCAAGTATCAAGGATGTTCCGTTAGTAATTAAATAGTTATAGGACAAATTTACCATGAATAGATCACTGTTTACGAAGCAGTCAAATATCACGACTTTCTAAATGAATTGCATGGTAAAATGTATGCCAATAATTAGTGTATTCATTCAACTATTCACATTCAAAATTTCATGTCATTAAATTCAGTAATTAAAGAAAAACAACTATAATACTGACGAAGCATCGAAAACCTACATAACCCGACCAAGTTCGGATGGCTACAAAAAAGAATCTAGACCCCAAAGTGCATACTTTAAGAACTAAGACCTAATAAGCGTATTTTACGTTTATATTTTTATCTTTTAAACCCTACGATTTTTTCTAAATCTGTTTTTTAAACAAATATACACAAATTCAAAACAACGTATGTAAAAATCTACAGCTCTCTATGTAAGCGCTTTATATGAAAACTAGGTAATGGCCAAACGTTCGCGTAGCGGAAACTTGCATTTCTCCGAAGTTTATGCATGCACTAGTTTTATTCATACATACACAATTACACACAAATACACACTAATTTTTGGTTACATCTCTTTTCTTCTAAAGTCTATGGATTAAAAAAAGTTCCGCCAGGACAACGTTCGCCCAGCGGAATCAGTTTTTGGTGAATTTCTCCACAATGGTTGCGTGCACAATTTTTTTTTTTACCATACACAATTATACGACGTCATACACTAAATATCTGCATAATTAAAATCTTTAAATTCAACAACATTGCGCTGCACGAACGCACGCCTAGAACGTAGTGTCAATATACTCTGCATTATTCTATCCTGAATATTTTATCTGTCCCTACAGGTCTCCACAAGTCCACAAAGTTCAAAACGAAATATGCACACCTAAGTATTCTATAAAATAATAGTTAAGTTTATTCTGTAAAAATGAATGATCATTTTTACATTTTTAGGACGGTTTTTTGTCTCAAGTTATTGCAAGTGCAAAAGAGAAAGACATATTCTATGCCAAACTTATGATTAACGCACATTATATTTACCTAGAACTCAAGTAAATGTCAAAAATTTTGTTTGATGGTACCTACCTAGTTGATATGGTGTCGTGTGTGATATTTTTTCTAATTGTACCAAATTAAATTATAACATAAATTAATAAAAATGGCTACAACTATAAACCAGAAAGCGTATTTGCAAAAATACCTTAGTGGATCGTCAGGAGACAAAAAGAAGAAGAAGAAAAAAGCTATTAAAGGAACTGGGTAAGTTAAGCTTTAACAAAATTATGGATTTTGTGATAAAAACAGTAAATAGATACTTGTTCTTATTACAAATATAGGTAACAGTGATTTACAAACTTGTTAACAGTGTAATTCGTGATATTCTTAGATATTAGTGTTTCCCTCCTTTTTGTCACTACAACATTGTGAAGAACATACAATAAACATACCTTCTGTTAAAATCAGTGTGATATATTCCATATAATAATAAATAGAATGTTTCACAATAACTAAGATCCTACTCATGGTAGTTGCTTGTGGAAGCCACTACCACCACCATTGAACAAACAGTCCACAGTTTATAAAAAAAGGTTAGATTCCTAGATAGTACAAATATCACCATTATCTTAGATATGAAATATTTAAAAAGTTTTTATGTGAAACAGTACAAGTAATCAACAAAAAGAACTTTGATCTCTTGTCATTTAAATTTACGTACTTTAAATAACCTACAAATGTTAAATGAAAGAGAATTTCTTGAAGGTAGACGTTCAGAGGATCTAACACTGTCAGCGTGGAGCTAGTCAAATACTACCAGAGGGGTATACTTGATTACTTACAGTGTTTTCTTAAATAATCCAATAGAATATTACCAGAGAATTAAACTCTTGAGTCTTCTTCATTTTCCATTTTTAACCTTTCGACTGTACTAACATAAATGTATCAGCTACTCTCCCATACCAAGCCACAAATACAGATAAAAAATAGGCTTTCCAGCATCTTATTGATAAGCAATTATACACTGCTTTTAGACCCATAATTTTTTGGTAAAATGTTACTCGTAATGTCATTTATTAGCAGTTACAAAATTTTTAATAAGGCATACCTAGATTGGAAATACAATTTAATAAATCAACCGTAGTAAGGTGCATCACTAATCTTGTTTATGACATCATTTGCTGTTGGTTTTGCATGAAAGAATAACAAACATTCATTCATTCATACATTTCACAAATTTTCACATTAATTACAGATTGTTACAGAACACTTTTTACAGATTTCAATTTTACAGCATTTAAAACATTTTTTCATGATTTCATTTTTCTAATGCAATGTTACTAACAAATATACATTGTGCAATATTTCATCAATGAAGTTTTAAATAATAGCAAAATGAAACCTAGAAAATTTAATTTACTAAAATTATTTATTTTGCACTTTAAAAAAATAGTTTTTGACGGCCATAGATGTCAGGTGGCGCTTTTGCAACAATTTAAGAAAAAAGTATTTCTGTTTGACCAAAAAATATAAAGACGTCACATTGGTGTTTTCCATACCAAATTCTTAAAACAGTTTCGTTTTTGACATTTTAATAAAAGTATTGAATTTGACTAGATGTAAAATACCATATTGATCAGTCCAATTCAAAGCCAAAATACTATAGTTGGATGTGAAATGTCAAATTCTAACACCAGTATTTGAGTTACTAAGAGCCAATAGACCACCACAGACGGGGTCCTATAGGGCTGATGTTCAGCCGGCGTTGCGGGGTAAGCGCAATGAGGCGACCTCGGCCCAGAGCAGGAGAAGGAACAGGGGGTTTTTAGTCAGTAAGAGTCTGACCCTCCAGAAAAAAAGTATTTGTCAGTCACTATTCAGTTAGAATAACCAATCACTGATAAAAATTAATATTTAAATTCCAGATTAAAAATAATTGATGATGACATTGATCTGTCTAAGCTTCGCACACTGGAAGGTGATGAGCTGGATGTGTTTGACCAGGGTGAGGACGCGCCCCAAATTGTGGGCATAATTGATGACAGGCCAGAAGAAGTCAAAAAGGCTGAACAGTTTAGCTCTAGCACAAAATGGAAAGTAATTAATCAGGTAAGTAAATGAATCATACAAACTAATACTTCTTCTATATTCATTAATTTGTATATCTTCTTATATATAAAAATGGATCGCAAAATGTGTTGGTAAGCGCATAACTCAACAACGCCGGGACCAATTTTGCTAATTCTTTTTTTGTTGTGTTTGTTATTGTCAGGGGAAGGTTCTTATGAAAAAAAAATTTGAAAAGTAGAGGGTAGAGTTGGCTTATAGGGACCATTTCATCATAAGCGAGATGATGAGACTATTCCAGATCTTTATTAATCCCTGGTGTCATGTAATGTTGATCAGTGCATAACAAATTGGTTAAACTATTGTAATACTTTTTGTCAAGCACTTACAGTGCCCTGTCCGTGTCCATTAAAAGTTTTTACTATTAATGTTGAAGTTCATGTAAACATAAGCTTTATATATTAAAGAGATATGTACCAAATAATCAAAATTATAATAAGCAGTATTCATAACAACTAGAACTTAACAAGGCATGTCAACTTTCAGGAAACTGAAATTGAGTATAGATGTGAGTTGAAAGTAACAAAAATTGCATTCACAGGATGACGGATTCAGCAGTAAATTACAAATAGAAGAGATAAAAAGAGACATAAAACAGACAGAGAAAGAAAATGAATTGATTTTTGGTAAAATGTACAGTGATTCTGAGGATGAAAAAGCAAATGGTTCTGACCTATCTCCACCAAGAAAGCAGGATACTGAAAGGCCTAAACCTTCCAAACGAAGAAACAGTGATAGTGACATTAGTCCTCCTAGAAAAAACCATTCTCCGTCAAGAAAGAAGGATTCTGAAAGACCTAAATCTTCCAAACGACGAGACAGTGATAGTGACTGTAGTCCTCCTAGAAGAAAAAACCAATCTCCATCAAGAAAGCGGGATTCTGAAAGACCTAAAGCTTCCAAACGACGAGACAGTGATAGTGATTTTAGTCCGCCTAGAAAAAACCATTCTCCTTCAAGAAAGCGGGATTCTGAAAGACCCAAAGCTTCCAAACGACGAGACAGTGATAGTGATATAAGCCCTCCTAGAAGAAAAAACCATTCTCCGCCAAGAAAGAAGGATTCCGAAAGACCTAAAGCTTCTAAACGGCACGACAGTGACAGTGATTTTAGTCCGCCTAGAAAAAATCATTCTCCGTCAAGAAAGCGGGATTCTGAAAGACCCAAAGCTTCCAAACGGCGCGACAACGATAGTGACATAAGTCCTCCAAGAAAAAGAAACACCAGGTGGGATACAGGGTCACCCAAAAGAAGTCCTGAGAGATCATTTAAAAGGAGAAGTCCAAATAAGTCGCCAAAAAGGAGCTATAACAATAATTCTGATAAAAATAGAAAGAGAGAGAGTGATAGCCCTCCACCTACCAATAAGAAGATGGCGAAAACTCTAGAAGGCAAGATGGCGGGTTTGCAAGATGCAAGACAGTTGAGACAAGAGAATGATACTTTTAGGAGAAAGGAAGATGAAGTTTTCAATAAGATGTCTGACGAAGTCTCTGGAAGGAATGCTCAAGTTGTGTCAAGGAAATGTGAGTATTTATGTAGTACTTTTAGCCAAATGGCAAAAAAACGGAACCCTCAGAGGTTCGTCATGTCTGTCCGTTCGTCGCTTGTATGTCTCAACCATTTTTTTTCACTTACACTGCTTAGTGTATGATGTGTTGGAAAATACGGCGATGTTTATATTTTATATTTATTAATTTCCATTTTGTGTCCTTAAAAGTATTCGCTCATTCAATTCAAGAAACAATTATAGTATGTTCTTTTTGTCTGTGAAGCTCGCTCAGCGATTAGGTATTTATCTCCGCATAACTTCAAAACCTTTTCTTCCTTCGTTCCTTTTGCAGGTCTTTTCAATTGGTGACTACAGTGACTGGCCATGATACCAGAGTTGCCTTTAGATGGTCCCTTTTGGTCAAAACTCAGCTATTTTAAAATTTGTATTCAACATTTTATATCCCAAAAAACATTGCACGTTTTCCCGATATTCGGACTTCCTAAACAACTACATACACGAATTACTCTGGAAGAAATCTTGTTTAACTTGTATTTTTTTACTCGATTCCTTATTTGCTTTTATAAAGATTAAAATTGTACTGTTACAGTAAAACGAGAGACATCGGAAGACAGGCAAAAGCAGAAAGAAAAGGCTGATAGACAGAGGGAATTGGATGAAAAATACAAGAAGTGGTCTAAAGGGTATGTCTTGTCTTACAATAGTATTTTGCTTTTAGTATGTAATAGGTCGGCAAACGGGCAAACGGATTACCTGATGGAGAGCATTCAGCGTCGCCAATGGACACCCGGAACAAGGGCGTGGCCGACCTTTTGGGATTGGGGGAGGCGGAAGAGTTGGGCCTCCGGTAAACTTCACTCACACGGCGAATCACAGCTCTGTTTTCACGCCTTTTTTCTGTGTGGCTGAAGTAAAGAGAACCACTCTTTCCAATTTCACGACTCATTTGTGCCAAAATGTGCCAGATCTTAAAATATACAATCGATCTGCATTTCAGCCATTCGTGACGTACAAAATAAAGTTAAATAAAATATCTGTGCTTGGCAATAATTAGTTATTAAACTGTTTAGTATCTACATAATGTTCCATTTATCTGAAAAGAAAGTAAAAGAACACAAGATATTTTTTTTCTTACTGTGTCTCATATAACGGCAGATAACATATTAATTAAGTTCCCGTGCAGAATGGGTTTAATAACGCCTAAATAGCACCTAATAGATTGTTATACATAAAACCAATGAATGGATGACGATGATTACATATTTTTTTTATATGGCTATTTTTTATATGTTACAGCGCCATCTAGTGGTCCCTTACGGAACTAACTGTAGTACTACTGAATCGAAAGACAATATTGTCGGCTATTTGTATAAAATTCCAAATTTATTTCAGGATCAAGCAACTGGAAGAACAGGAAGCTCGTGTTCAGGAGTTTATGCATGAGTCTTCGAAACCCCTGGCTCGGCTCCGTGATGACAAGGACCTTGAGGATAGTCTGCGGCAGGTGGAGAGAGATGGAGACCCCATGTTGAAGTATATGAGGGATCGCAAACGGGAAAGAGGAGAGTTGGGGCCAGGTAAAATGTTGCCTTTTTTTAAATCTTGCATAAGTAGTTAGTGTAAGGTAGGGTAGGTAGCGTAGGGCAGATAGTGGAGCGTGAGAAGTGTAGGTAGGTAACTAAAATGGTTTGGGTAGGCCACTTAAGGCACCTATAATAGTGTCGTGTCGTGAGAAACTATGTAAATAGTTTGTTTTTTGTTATTCTAACAGGGCGTGTAAGCGCCTCAAAATTAATCTAAAATAAAATTAAGTAGAAAAAAGGTTGGGTAGTGTAGGTAGTCGAATGATGGGAGCAAAGCCGTTGCATATTCAGTTGGTCCGACAATCGGGTACTTACTGGCTATTTTTCATACCCCTACAGTGAGGCCGACGTATCTTGGCGAGTCTGAAGTTAGCCGTTTTTTTGCGCAATGGATCTTTTAGGAACGAAATTGTGTACTGCGCAGCTAATCGGCTAACTTCAGACTCGCCAAGATACGTCGGCCGCACTGTAAGTGATAAAGTTGTTCACCGGTTGTTTGCCGGTGGACAACCCTTATCGCTTTATTTTGCCTAGCTTTTATTTCTTATAAAGCTGTACTACCTTTAAGGAGATTTTGAGACAATACTTTGTTTTTCCTTCTTTTGAATTCTTACTAGAGCAAAGGTTTTACAAAAACAAAAATTAGTACGATAGTTTTGTTCTGTGTCGTGGGCGCGTTTGCAAACATAAGTACAATTTCACATACTCCTTGAAAAACATCATCACCATCAGTCAGAAGTCGTCCACAGCTGATTGCATGGTTGGCGCGGTGGCTGGACAACTGGCTGCCGCGCAACGTGTCGCGTGTTCGATCCCGCACGGAGCAACTCTTCGTGTGATCCACAAATTGCTCTTTCGGGTCTGGGTGTGATGTGTATGTCAAATTGTATGTTTGTACACGCAACCCACGACACAGGAGAAAAACCTAGTGTGGAACAAGGTTGTTAAAAAAAAAAGATAGTAGTTCCCTTTTTGCCCAAGATAGTACTCCCGGAACTGGGAATAACAATTTGTGGTGATCTACACAAATAGTTGTTCGGTACAGAAATCATCGCAGTCTTAAAATTAGTGGAATAGAATATATTTATTTGCATAAAGTGTAGGTGATTTTACAATTAGGTGTTACAATATTATTTGACCCGTGTACATTCTGCCTAAATGGCATGCTAAAATATGACTTATGCTATAAAAAACTATAATCTAGGTATCACTTATTACTCTATATTCATTTAATTTAAGTACACAAACACTGTTCACTAAATTGACTTGTCATTCAAGTAATCAGATGCAGAGTAGTCACACTTTTAACTAGTAAAGCTTTAAGTGTGTTTTTGAATTTTCTTAATGGTAGCTCTTTTATCATTTTTGGTAGAAGGTTGAAGATGATAGGAGCCATACCCATGACACTATTTGTCAATAAAGAAGTTTTATATGTACAGTCAGCTGCAGAGAAAGGATTCCCCTATGCAGATAGCTGCATACATATTTGTACTTCAGGTGGTCCATTTCTCTGCAGCTGACCGTACCTAAGCATAACTTATCTTCATATTGAGATCTTAAACATGTTTAATGTTATTTTTATCCCCAGAGAAACCAATGTACAAGGGCAATTTCCCCCCAAATCGGTTCAACATTCGACCCGGTTACCGGTGGGATGGCGTGGACCGCTCCAACGGCTACGAAAAGAAATACTTCGAACAACAAAGCAAGCGCAAAGCACAAGAGGAAGAAGCCTACAAATGGAGTACAGAAGACTTGTAATCTTTATTCTACTCTTTTTATTAGCATACATTTCAATTTACCGTGATCAAACTGTGTAAAACAATTTTTTTTTATGAAATAAATATGTAAATATTTCTTTTTTATAGAAAAAAATGAGAATTATTTAAGCCGTTTTATTTTAACTCTTAATTATCAAAAAACACATTCCCTCAATATCTCTATGATATAAATCGTGATTTTTTTTATGAAGTTGTCATAGATAGTATAAAAATAATATAATTGATTTTGACTAAGATCTGAAGTCAAATTCAAATCATTAATTACGATTGGATTACAATAATAGTCTATTCTATTACGGTCGTTCCCAAAACATATTCAATCTATATCTGGTTTCGCCTTACTAAAGATAGAAACAGTTATCTATCTTGGAACTTTTTGTCCCTATAAAATGGATTTATAGGGATTTCATATCAAAGAGTATGTAACCACTACGTTTAAGAGACGGGACTCCCATACAAGCCAGTGGAATCAATTTACACGGCACTCTAATACCTACATTGCAATAAATAAAAGATGTCAGCCGTCAAAATCAATAGTACCAACCTAAAAGACCAAATAGTTCTGTGGTAGCTGTATACTAGGTTTAGTATCGATATCGATAATATTTATAGGGTAGAAATCGAGGTCATACTACTTTTTTAATTTTTAGTTTCAATCTTTAAGATAAAGTTCGGATTTGAAATAAAACATTGTGTTATATTAAAAACTAAAAAATATATTTTTGTAATAATATTCAAATTCATGTTATATACGGACGGTGTGTTAAGGACCTAACTAAAATTATTTAAATTAAGTGGACTCTAATACTTAATACATATATTGGTTCAGTAAATTGGTTCTATGGGCACATACACTAAATCTTCTTTGCCAACAACTTTCACCCACTGCCGGCACCTGAAAAATGGAAAAAATCAAAATGGACAGTCCCTGACATGAATAACTCTAAATTGTGTAAACAGCTGGCGTTCCTTATATAATAAATGAATAAATTTTACGAATACAGTATACATACATTTTTATCTACGTTTAATCATTAATTTCTTAAAATCTACTGGGTTTGTCGTGTCACAACTTTGTTCAACAACATCTAATAACATCATTTCTTCTTTGGTGTGGTCTAGAAAGTAAATCACGAAAGAATAAATAAATCAAGGGATCTTTGGAGTTTAGCCCACACATAAGTCTGTGACTATCGATACTTGAGGTACATCACTAGTACACAATAAGTACATGAAAATCAATTTACATGTATTTGTAGCCTTTTATACTTAGAATTAAATAAAATTATATCATTTAATGCTTACCGGTCCTCATCCAAAGGAAATTTCGCCATAAACATCCTTTTCTCGCCATTTGTACGACCGGATCGTCCTCCGCAGATTTCACAAGTTAGAAACCGTTTTTTTTGGTGGCATTTTACTTGAACACGTAACTAGTCACAGCCGTATCACTAACCACTAATTAACTAAACAAATTATACGTAAATTTATGAAATTATGAAAATAACAACATAAACTTACAAAAGCAACGACATTCAAAGTTCAAAACTTCAATTAAAATGGCCGACGGATTAGTGAAAGAAAGAGAACTGTACTGAGGGAGTGGGATGGCAATATCCGGCTACTTCCGTGTGCCATTATTTGCCGTGCCAAGCCCATACATTTTTATTTTTCTTCTAAGTTGCGCTAGGCTGTTTCATATCGTCGATGGCGACGATATGAAATCTATCTCTAGAGGCTATCTATCGTTGGGAGGCCGGATAGGTTACTATAGTCAGACTTTTAATTCGATTCCTGATTTGACATTGACCACTGTCATTTTGTGAAATAATGATACCACATATAACAGTGTAGTGATGAACACAAAAATCGATAAACAATCAGTGAATCAGTTTCAGGAAGGCATTCAAAAAATTACGGCTACCGAATGGTCTAAATGTGTATCCCATGTTTTCAAAGAAGAGGAAAAAATGAGTAAACTAGATATGTTAATTGACAATAAATATCAAAGACACAATTCATAATAAATGTTACATAGAGTAACGGCGATAGCGATAGCGATGACGGTGACAATATAAAAAATGTCTGTTTTATTTGTCACGTTCCTTCATGATCACATTTTTTATTATTTTCACACACAATTACAAAAGAAAAGTCTCAGATCGTTAATTAATTGTCAAAACTAAATTCAGAAATCGGTTCAGAAATATTTTATTTCCTGATAAACTTAGTCTACGAGAGTAAATTTATAAACGAGAGGAATCGATTCAGAAATATTCGATTTCCATATCGAATAATTTCGCAACGTCACTATTTATTACGTGTCATAACGTTGCAACATTGAAATTGTCAAATCTGGAATGGAATTAAAATTCCGAGTATAGGGATAGACATTTTTGAAGATTGACGTCTATCTGTTAGTAAGTTTGTTTTATCATCATCAGCCTATAAGTGCCCACTGGTGAGCAAAGGCCTCTTCTCACACGGAGAAGGTTTGAGCATTAATCACCAGGCTTGTTTTTGGTTGCAGGTTGGCGATTTCAAATTTATAATAATTAGAAATTATAAGTCCAGGTTTCCTCACGATGTTTACCTTCACCGTATGTCAGTGGTGTCTAAATAATCATAGAAAGTACATACATTCAGTCAACAAAGTATCGGGAATGAAATGATACGGCGCTGCATACCTTGGTGGAGTGCCCAGCTTGGGCCGAGCAGCGCCGTGACCTGGTCGCGGCCGTAGGTGCTGCGGGAAATCTCTCGCTTCCGGCTGTAGTGTCTACTATGGTCGGGAGCGAGTCAGGGTGGAGTGCCGTCGCTACCTTCTGCGAAGCCGTGATGCTCGCAAAGGAGGCGGCGGAAAGGGAGAGAGAGGCTGCCTCCTCTCTCCCCTCCCGCAGCAGACGCACTAGACGTCGTAGGGTGGCCGACCTGCGGCCACCGTAGGGTGCGGCCTGCGGACGACAGACTCGGGGCGTCTTGTCGTCCGACCAGCAGCAGGCCTCGAGGCGGCGGCGCCGTGTTCCGCGCGCGCCTCATAATGGAGTCCTGCGGTCGGGGTGACGGCCGCAGTGGGTGACGGGGCCCGCCGAACCATCTGGCGAGCCAATACCCGTCGGGGGGATGCGACGAATGCTTCGGCGATACCCGCCCCTCCGACACATGGGTAAGTGGAGGAACACCGGGTTGGTTTTTAGTCAGTATGAGTCTGACAGTACCCTTCGCCCTTCCCCGAGGGTGGTGGGTCTCCATGAGGATTTTCCAACCCGAAACTAAAAAAAAAAAAAAAAAGTTTCGGGAATGAATGTTTTTTTTATGGTTTCAAATTCGATTTTTTTTTTGTTGTTGTTAGATTGGCATAACTGTTTTCCATTTTGGCGCGGAATTTGAGTTGCATCTGTTATTTATATTAAAAACAGTGCTGTTTTTAGTTTTATAATATCTAGTGTGTATTGCGAATTTCATAATGGACAAAAACATCGAGCAAAGAGTTTGTCTTAAATTTTGCATCGCCAATGAAATTTCGTGTTCGGAGGCACTCAAAATGTTACAGAAGGCTTACGGTGAATCGACTTTATCAAAAACACGTGCTTATGAGTGGTACAAAGCGTTCAAAAGCGGTCGAGATGTGATGGAAGATTTGCCTCGTTCTGGTAGGCCATCAACGTCTGCAACTGAAGTTAACATCGCAAAATTGAAGGAAATAGTGACTGAAAATCCTCATTCAAGTTTGAGAGAGATGGCCGCCGAACTTCCTGTGTCTCACGGGTCGATCCGTACCATTTTAACAAATAATTTGGGTATGAAACGTGTTGCCGCTCGGCTAGTCCCAAAAGACCTGAATTTTCTTCAAAAACTAAATCGCATGAAAGTCGCTGAGGACATGCTAGAACGAGTCAATACCGACCCAACATTCATGAAACGCATTGTTACTGGTGACGAGACGTGGGTTTACGAGTTTGACATGCAAACTAGTCAACAAGCTTCGGAATGGCGCCTTCCAACTGAACCAAAACCGAAAAAACCACGTCAAAGTCGATCAAAAGTCAAAGTCATGTTGACTGTTTTCTTTGACTATCGCGGTGTTGTGCACTCAGAATTCTTGCCCGAAGGTCAAACGGTAAATAAAGAATATTATTTGAGCGTTATGCGGCGTTTAAGAGAACAAATTCGACGAAAAAGGCCAGAAATGTGGAAAGAAAATTCTTGGATTTTGCATCACGATAATGCGTCTTCGCACAAGGCCATCATTGTAAACGATTTTTTGTCCAAACACTCATACATCATCATTCATCACTCATCATCACAAACACCATCGAGCAGCCACCATATTCACCAGATATGGCTCCAGCCGACTTCTTTCTTTTTCCCACACTCAAATTACCCCTTCGTGGCACCCGTTTTCAATCGTTGAAAGACATAAAGGAGAATTCGCGGCGAGCACTGAACTCAATTCCGGAAACAGCGTTTAAAAAAAGTTTCGATGATTGGATTATTCGTTGGCGTAAGTGTATCGTTTCTGAAGGAGCATACTTTGAAGGTGATAAAATAAATTTAGATGAATAACAAACATTTTGTGTATTATTGACTTTTTCCCGGTACTTTCTTGACAGAGTAGTACCTATAACTGAAAAAGTCACATTGGTAGGTACTTGCCAGGTTTCGAACCCACATCCTCATGCATGGGCAGCGGGCTCCTCAACCAACTACTAGTACTACTACATACTACATAGGGGTATCAAAGTCTGCAGCTTCACGCATAGTCAGAGATGTCTCTCAGGCTATCGCTAAATGATACCCAAATTCATTAGTGGGTAGCCTTAGGGGAATACACAAGAAGATTTTTATTGACAGATGTTTTGGAGTTTGGAAAAGACAATTTCCAATATTTTCTTTGAAAATGTGGCTATTTTTACAAACAACCCAGGCAATAGCTATTGCAACTGCAGTTCTACACAATAGGTACAGAAGAGCAGAGCAGGTACATTAATTCCTGAACAAAGCATAATATTACTTATGCAAATATTACTGAAAATCACATAAGTGTGAAACAACCCACATTGTTGTGTTTCGCCGCGTGAGTGAGGTTACCGGTCCCAATCCTTATTTCCGCAACCCCTATCCCCAAAAGGTTATCCCGATTGCTTACCATGAGGTAATCCGTCTGCTCGTTTGCCGACTTATACCTACCATAAAAAACATAGGAAATGAAATAACTGGATGTCGATCTTTAATAAATAATTTCCAATAATTGAGTGCTAAGCAATTACCAATAAATTATTAATTTTATTAATATTTATTAGTTTTAGTTTATATATGTTACGGCTAAAGGTAGGTGTGAACCTAAACTTAAGATTAGCCGGCTAAACCTAGGTTTATCTTCAACGAAATGTTAATGTTAGTTTGTTCTATCTTTAGCCGGCTAAACTTAGGTGTAGCTGCAGGTCCTTGGCTAAAAATGTAGAAGGAAATGGAAAAGGAAACAATGTAATAATGTTTACTATTTTGACACGAAAACTTTATTAAAAAACAATCACTTTCATTACACATACTTTTATGTACTATGTAGGTATTCAAAGTAACAATTATTACAATTACAAAATTTTAATTAGTTTTTTTTGACATTCACGCCAATAACCTAGTACCAAACTAAGCAAAGCTTGTACTATGGATACTAGATAACGGATAAATATAACAAACATCCATGACTCGGGTACAAATATTCGTGCTCATCACACAAACATCTGCCCCTAGCGGGATTTGAACCCGCGACCGTTTGGTCTTGTGACTAGCCTTACTAACCACTAGACCAAATGTGTCGTCGCTAAAACAATATTAACCTAATCATTAAAATAAAATAATAAGGAACCATTTGGTCATTACAGAATCTTCTGTAGGTATTTAAAATTACAAAATAAAACTTCTTCCACCGCCCGCGCCCCCTTAAGCCTTCCGCCGGCCCGGCGCGCCTATCGAATACATTTTTAGCCGTTTCGTTTCGGTTAATGTGCACATTAACCGGCTAAAGATGGAATATCACGACGTAAACTAACATGTTATCGAACTTTAGCTGCTTCTCGAAGATAAACTTAAGTTTAGCCGGCTAATCTTAAGTTTACGTTCACACCGACCTTTAGCCGTAACATATACATGATTTGTATACCTGTGTTTCAATTATTTAAATTAGTGGATAAAAATAAACATGTATTATTAGACCATAAAATTTTATTTTTAATTAATTATTAATTATGTACAATATTTACATAGAAATAACAGAGTCTCATCAACAAAGAAAAGACGAAAAATATTTTATCTATTGATGAGACTCTTTGTTGGTATCACTAGGGTCACAGCAAAATCTTTTTTCTAATTCTAAGATTTCTAACTCTAATTTTCTTTTTTTTAAAGGAGCCAGTTCACTTTCATTTTTCTTTTTTGTTACATAGTACTCTGCAATAGCTCTGTTCCTGGCTATCACAGACGCCTTAGACTCAGTAGCTGCGACACTGTGTTTCAACGTTCCTAAAAAAATTAATGATAGAGTTATTTTATACATAATTAATTAATTATATCTTAACCCTCACACTCTTTGCTTGAAAATTATGCATCATTGTGCTACCCATAAAATAAAATAATATCATAAATGTACCTACAATTAATTTTAAGGTCTATTTATGCAAATAAACCAAAACCAAGTTCATATGAGTACCGAAACCAATGGCACAGCAAGCCCTTCAAACCATTGTTATGTATGTATCACAGATAATAAATTAGTATAATAACAACTATTTTGAAGCTACAACGTAAAGAAACCTAAGAATCCAAGAATTGGTTGGCTCGAGTGCAAAGCTCCCACTTTACTTTGTGTTGAGGAAATAAAAATTATTGGTTGGTTGGGGTTAAATAGGTTGAGCAGGTTGTGGAGAAGGAAAGGTAACCATCGAGTATACCATCAATTCTTCATTCTGCATTACCTCTAAATGGGACCCGGTGGCTATCACAACTTGCACGTAAAATTGATGCAACTTTGTCCAGTGCCTCATATGGTGGCGTGAAGTCGGGGTTCCCACCTCCAGTCTGAAAATGAATATTTTATTAGTTATCTATTTAATATATTAGTTAGATATTAGAAAAAAATATTCATGGACCCTTGATAAAAAGCATAAATTGCATAGAACTGTCTGTACATAAAATACCTTCAAGTTATTCATTCTTATCTGACTTCTTTTCCGGGCAGCTTTTTTCAAGTTTTCCCACTTTGACCGCAGCTGTTCCGGTTTACGAGGAGAACTGGAAATCATCGAGTTGAATCTTGTTGTTAGTTTAGCCCAAGTTACTTCTTTCAATCGGTTGTTGGTAGCATTGGTGGCTTTACTAAATAGCACCGGATGAGCTTCAACTAATTTCACCAACATCATCACTTCTTCCTTCGTCAACGGTAGCGCTTTTTGCTGTTTGTTAAAAAAAAATATAAAACTTAAGAAAGGTGTAGGTAAGAAAGAATTAAACAAAATATTTATTAGAAAGTAGGGTGACAATCACAATGCCGGCGCTACGTTGCCAAGCACAGTGACTCTTTGATATAATGAATATAATATTGTGTGATAGTATTTCAATTTGCCTCCAAAACAAACACATTATACGTTTGCCCGCGTAAGTTTGTTGTATGGCGGTCGATTCCACGTCCCCCACATGCAGTGCAGTGTGATATCGACTTGAGTAAGCTTAATAATACAAATAAAATACTTACCGCACTCATTTTATCCAAATTAAATATTTAAATCGGTAAAATAAACGTAGTAAAATATGAAACTATTCAAATCACTTCACCTATAACCACACAAAGTATAAACAAAAACAATACAAATGTCGAAGTCAAAATTGTCAGATGCCTGTCATGTTTCTTTTCACGAAATATCAAAATATTGTACAGATATTATTCACTTTTTATTACAAATAATAATCAAACGATTATAAGTAATATGTATTGAACCCATTATTTCTTATTAAGTTCGTATTTCCTATAACTTACATAATTTTACAGAAAAAAAAACATTGAAGTAACGTAATTGAAAATGCTTTATAGTGCTGCGTATTTCGAAACGTTTGGGAGAGCTCGGTTAAGCAGCCTATCTACAGTTCAGCCGACTTATCTTGGCGAGTCTGAAGTTAGCTGTTTGACTGCGCAATGGATCTTTTAGGAACAACATTGTGGACTCGCCAAGATATGTTGACGTTATTGTACTGTTGTTAACTAGAGATAGTCAATGCCTATCTGTTTACCGAGTACTGTCGATCGAGGATAGCTATCTATGATACAATATATAGGGAACGGCCGTTAGATTACTACTCAAACAAATATTAAAGATAAAAATAACATTCATTTTTAAACTTTCGCGTTTCATATTAATAACATTAGGTATATTTACGCGGGTACGCGGGTCTTCACTCTGCTTGTGACCACGACCTGTGCTGGCTGCCTGGGTCGAAACGTCAAGCCTACCAAGGTATTCAAATAATAATTTCCCGCGTTAATACTCGCGTAAATATATGTTATTAAAAATGATATTGACAGTCTGTTGGTTAATTCTCTTAGGGCTGATTTTTCGATGGTTGGATAAAAGTTCTGGGGAACAATTATGATGCTGTCGCATCAGAATGTTTGTATAAGACAGTGACAGCAACAATTTTATTCCTCAAACAACACTTATCTGACTATTGAAAAATCAAGCCTTATTGAAACTATTTGCTCATACGAAAGTTTAGATTCCAATTAAATGGGGAAGAACGAGCAACAAATTCAATGGTTCCTCTTTTTCAACAAATTTTACAGGTTCTATGATTCTTTGTTACATTATTTAGTAATAATAATAAACCCGCAGGGCATTTTGAGGCGAGGTGAGAATTAGCAATCCCGCGGGCTACCATCATCTCGATTGCTCCAGAGAGGAGTCACCGTTCCTCATCTCCGGCTTGCCTTTTTTGGCTGGCCGGAGTGAACGATGACGAGGAACAGGTCTTCCACCTCTGGCTTGTCTTCATTGGCCGTCCAGAGTGAAGTCGCGAAAGAAGTGATCCTGAGGGTGGAAGCTGTTCGTAAGCGGCGAGTAGGCCAATGATGCAGGATGCTTAGGCAAATGCATATGATCTGTGTAGAAATCTGGTGGCAATTTCTTCATTCTTCAGCCACTCATATACGTTGTCCCTCCGTTGCTATTACTAGCAACCATTCCCGGGGGCCCGGTCGGTGAGGTGGCGAGTCCCACCATTGCCATTTTTACATTGTTTCGGCAGGTGCCATAGTCCTTCCATAGTTCCTATTATACCAGTCCATAACAACAACCCATAGTCTTATCCCTTGTTTCCATTATCCGCAATAGTCTCACACTAACCGGGGACTGTCCTTGGGTGCGTTTCCATAGTGCATACAAGGATAGTCGCTGGTTTGTGTCCCATTTCATTGCCTCTGCGCAGGTGGCTCCGGCCCCTTGTTCCGTAATTGCTAAAGACCTACCCATAATAATAAATCATTTATTTGCCAGAAATACATATGGTGATACAGAACATGTTACAGTTTTGTGTTCATTTTCTACTTAAATACATTTTATTCTGTACAATTACTTGTATCAGAGTAACACTATTGTTATTTTGTAATGAAAGTGCACACTTTAATTGCAAATAGTGACAGTCATTTCAATAGGTACTTCTTTGTTTAATCTTTGACAACCTATACCTAAGTATTTTCAAAATTATCCGCAGTGCTCGTAAAATGACGTGATTGGCCAAACAGTTAAGGAGACAGTGACCACAACGTACTTAAAACTTGAAACATTCATAGTATTTATCATTCAAAACATTGAGAAACGTCCATGACAATGAAGATTATACCCTAATTCTTAAAATATTGACACATTTTATTATGGAGTTACTGGAGTAGGTATCGGAACTTTTTTGGTAATTATACGTGTGTGGCGATTCGGACACAGATTTCAGAGCCCGTAATATTACGGTTTTTTTACTTGATATAAACTAGTGCTTGACTGCGATCCCACCTGATGGTAAGCAGTGATGCAATCGTTGATGGTAAGGCGCACTAGTTTATTAAGAGCATATTCACTCTATCCTTGAAGACATCTAAATTATATTTGGACGGAAAGACTGCAGCCGGCAAACTGTTCCAATCCCTTGATGTACGCGGTATAAATGATGAGGCAAAACGCTTAGTCCGGGCCGCAGATGTCTCAACAACGTAAGGGTGGAAATTTGCCGTACGCCGGGATGTCCGAAAGTGAAATGGGGATGGCGGGATCAAATCGTGCATTTTGCACACTCTCCAAAATGCATCTTGTAGAACAACGGTGTCGGCGGTTAAAGGGTTAAGACCCTCGCCTAACGGCTAGGGCCTCAATACACCACTGCGGTAATCACCAATTTTACACACTTGTACCACAATGAATGTTCTACTGTTGGACGTCAAAATGCTGCAAAGTAGCTATAATGGTTTAATTTGATTTAGACTTTATTATAGACGATCAAATTTTTTTTTTGTAGCTTATATCGACTTTCAACAAAAAGAATAATATCGAAGAATAATATCGATTTTTACATTTATCTGTCATTCTTCTTTAATAGTTTCTAAATGAAGCTTATATTACGACAATGTTTATATATTAATAACGTCTCTCTTAATAAATTGTTTCTTTATTTGACGTAGGCTCAGCACAGATAATACAAATTCGTTTAAACATCCTCCATATTGTTATCGGACTAATAAAGCCTCTAAATCTGTTGCTGCATTTTTTGTTGCTCTTGTAAGTGTGTGAATTATAATTTCTTTCCATCTCATCACTATCATCGTTTTCTCTACAGTGGTCATCTCGCCTATTTGCATCTTGCCTGTTATTATTTTTATCTCTTTTGTCCTCAACGTGTACATCAATATTTCCCTGTCTCGCAAAACAGAGTCTACAAAGTTGGTCATAAATCTTCATTGCCTCACCTAAACGAAGTCTTTTATAACTCCTGTTATTGTAGTTGCGTTCTTTGTCACGTCTCTCATTATATCGTCTGTCTTCGTCTCGTCTGTCATCATTAAGTGTATGGTCTTCTCTTCGCCTGTCATAGACTCTGCGATCGTCATCTTCTCTCTCATCATCTTGCCTGTCATTATCTGGCCTGTCATCATCTTGCCTGTCATTATCTTGTCTGTCATTATCTTGTCTGTCATTATCTCGCCTGTCATTTTCACGTCTTTCGTTGTTTCGTCTGACTTCATCTCGTCCATCATCGTCTCTGCGGTCATTATCTTGTCTCTCATCATCTCGCCTGTCATCATCTTGCCTGTCATTATCTCGCCTGTCATTATCTTGCCTGTCATTATCTTGTCTGTCATTATCTCGCCTGTCATTTTCACGTCTTTCGTTGTTTCGTCTGACTTCATCTCGTATATCATCATCTCTGCGGTCGTTATCTTGTCTCTCATCATCTTGCATGTCATCATCACGCTTATCCTCATCACGCCTATCGTAATCACGCCTGTCGTCATATTGTCTATCTTCGTCTGGCGTGTCGTTAACTTGTCTGTATGCCTCTTGCCTGTCGTTGTCTCTTCGGTCATCGTTAGCTGGATTATCATAAGATCTGTCAGGTTGATTGTATCTGTTGTTGTCATAGTTGTATTTTAAGCCAGAGCGGACATAGTTATAGATGTTCTGGTTTTTTGCGTTGTCTCTACGGTCTTCGTCTTGTCGGCCGTTATCATATCGATCATAATTGCTGTTACTGTAACTAGTTCTGTCATTATCATTTATATCATCATGTCTATGATTGTCGTATCTGCTTTCAAGATTGTTTTGTCTATCGTTGCTATATAAGTTTTGGTCAGCGTCCTTCCTATCAGTATTTTGAACAGAGTTTTTGCCATTATTGTTTCTTTTTGGGCTATAGTACCAGTTGCGTTTGACTGATTTACTAATTTCCCTTCGGTTGGATTGATCTCTGCTGTCGTAACGTTCTTTTCTATCAGCGTTGTTGACACGGCCAAGTATCTGCACAATTAAAATGGAGCTGTTTAATAAAGTTCTGTGTGTCTTTTTTGTCTTAGCACTAGAGCTTTTCTCAGTTAATGCACGTGAGTAAGTCGTTATTTTCAATACATTTAGTATGATAACCCTTATAGTCAAAGGTAATTGTTAAAAACATAATATTTGTGTACCAAATTGTCTTTGTCATTGGCGGCATCATCGTCACCGTAGCGGTCTCGTTTGTCCTGAAAGAAAGAAAGAAACGTTTAATTGCGATGACGACCCATGGACACCTGCAACAACAGAGGAGTTACGAGGGCGTTGCCGACCCTTTGAGGATTTGGGATTTGCAGATTAAGGGACTGGGTGAGGGGAGGAATTGGGCCTTACCGGAGGCCTCACTCACACGGTGAAACACAACGCTGTTTGTTTCACGCCGGTCTTCTGTGAGGCCTTGGTACCACTCCGGTCGAGCCGACTCATTTCGTTAAAGAATGGATCTCCCACTTGAATAATAGTAGACAATATAGTATAATTCGTGTAATTTATATTTGTATTTACAGAACCGTCAACTTTAGGTTTTCGTGCATTAGTTGCAGTGTTTACGAAGAATTGATCAAACTGATTAGCAATTTGAATTGGGTCTGTGATTTTAGAATTATTTGAATGAATATATTTCTTTTTAAAAGGTGCAACGCACGTCCTGGCTCCTCCCATCAAGGTTTCGAAACATCCGGCCCACCGCGACATTTTTAGGAGAGATCCCAGCACGTGTAGGCAGTATTTGTTTTGTTGCTTTGAAAAGTTAGTAACATTTCAGATATACAATATCATTTTAAAGGTAC